GAGAGGAAATCCACTTCTAGAGGGTTTAATAGGTTCAATCCCTGTCATTCTGAGTGAAATTACCTGGGATAAAGGTGGAGATGGGAAAAGGAGAACGAAGAGCCCATATTTAGAGAAAAAATGGACAGTCTAAAATTACAAGCTTCAAACAGAACACCCATATCCCTTTCATTTCATGGCAGGACTTGGAGCCAGAGTCTCCGAACAGGAAGCCACAGGCAACCTCTTCATTGTCAATCCATAAAAATAAGGGGAAAATGCTCCAAGCTCAAAGTCTAGAGTTAGGACTGCAATTTCAGTTCTGCCCCTAAGGTTGTGTGACCTTGGTCAAGTGGCTTCCACAGCCTATGTATCAGTATCCTTTTCTGCAATATTAGGTGATTGGATGCGTGGATGACATCCAAATTTCTTCCAATTTCCACATCCTATAATTCTAAATCTTAGCAAGTCTTGCTATATAATTCTGTAGCTTTTCCTACCAGGCATTTCACTTCTGGCTTTTGACATTTGTTTCTTACTTCTATTATCAACTTCTAGCTTTGCAAGATGGAACCTAGAGGAGGAATGGTAGAAATTGGTGGGGCTTCAACAATCTTTGTGCCTGGATCACACACTGGGTAGAAAGCTCTGGAAGTTGTTCCAGCAACTTCTCCTTCATAATCAGGTCAGTTGGAGATAATTTTATCTTTTTCCCAAATTTCTCTCTTTCTAAGAACTCTTCTGTCTTCTTCTCTTGCAACCATTCATTTTACCCCTAAACACCTTTTCTGTTCATTGGCCTGTACTCATGTATCAATTGACGTGACTGAATAATACATATAATTACTTCAATAAATAATTGAGTACCTACCATGTACTAGATAGTTTTCAAACTTTTTGGTCTTAGGACCCCGTCTGCATGTTTGAAAGTTATCAGGGAACTCCAAAAGCTTTTGTTTATATGGGTTATATCTATATATATTTACTAAATTAAAAAATAAAACTGAGAAAAGTTTGAACTATTAATTTTAAAATAGCAAAAAATAGACCCATTATATGTTAATAACATTAAAAACGAAAAACAGCTATATATTCAGAACAAAAAAATTAGGGAGAGGAATGGCACTGTTTCACAATTTTGCAAATCTCTTTACTGTCAGGCTTAACATAAAACAGCTGGATTCTCATGCCTGGTTCTTTATTTAATCTGTTGCTTTGGGGTTTGTATTAGTTTCCTGGGGCTGCTGTAACAAATTACCACAAACTTGACTGTTCAAAACAACAGAAATATGTTCTTTTGCAGTTCTGGGGCCAGAAGTCCTACATCGGTTTCACTGGGCCACAATCAAGGTGTGGCAGGGAAGTGCTCCCTCCAGAGGCTCCAGAGGGAACTTCTCTCCTTGCCCCTTCCAAAATCTGGTGGCTGCTAACATTCCTTCATTTGGAAGGAATGAAGCCAGTCTCTTCCCCTATCTCTGCATCGACTGCTCTTTTGTGTGTGCTGGCTAATCTCCTCATGCTTCTTTTTTATAAGGACATTTATGATGGCATGTAGGCTTCACTGGAATAATCCAGGATAATCTCTTTATCTCAAGATCCTTAACCCAGTCCCACCAGCACAAGATTCACTATTCACCGGTTTCAAGACTAGGATGTGGGCATACCCTTGAGAGCCATTATCAGCCAACAACAGGTTATTTTGTTTGATGTTTATGAAGAAAATCTGGTCTCACACAGATACGCAGTTTGGGAAAAAAGAGAGTATTTTTATAGCCTTTTCAAATAATTGTGGATATTCTTCTTTAGTACAACACCAAAATTCAACAAGAAATAGTCTCTTAAAGGTTTGTTGCAATGTGGAATTTGAAAACATATCAGTGAATTTTTCTCATGGGTTACATTAAAATCATTGGGCTTTAGGCACTTTAAATGGATCTTTCGTCCATTCATAATTTTATAACATCATGCACTGATCATTTGGAAGATACTGGTTCACTGAGTTATATAGATCTTCCAAATGCAGACATATTTAATTATATATGTTCAAAAAATAACATTCATTAATACCACCTCCAATCTTAACAAAACAGTTCTCACATATTGGGAAATTATCAAACTCCTGGTGGTAGAAACACATTCTTCAAAACTGTAATTTTCATATGGAAGCTTAAATTTTATCAGTGGCAACAAATTCAGTTATTTTCCTTCAAGTGACAGACTTGCTGTTCATTTTCAAGAAAGCTACTGTTTGTTAATAAATGAAGAAAAGTGCCTGGTTCAGCTTTCAAGTCAAACAAGTTCACAAGTGCTTTTCCTCGAGGAACCCTGGTTGTGCATCAGAACTGCTTGATGTGTACTTCCTGTTTTGTCACACACTGTATTGAAAAGGAATGTACTGGGATGCCTGGGTGGCTCAGTCGTTGGGCATCTGCCTTCAGCTCAGGTCATGATCCCAGGGTCCTGGGATCAAGCCCCCCACATCGGGCTCCCTGCTCCGCGGACAGCCTGCTTCTCCCTCTCCCACCGCTTTTGTTCCCTCTCTTGCTCTCTCTCTCTGTCAAATAAATAAATAAAATCTTAAAAAAAAATAAAAGGAATGTACTGAGAGGTCGAGATTTAACAAAATTAAGAATTCTTATTGCTTTATTAAAGATACTCTAAGGTAAACTGGCTTTCCTCCTCCCCCAGTGGGAGTGTATGGTGGTGAAGAGTACAATTTGCAGCCTCTGCCTTGATTTGTGCCAAGGTGCCAGCAGTTTTGCCCAATTTTGCTTTCATACCATTAGTGCAAATATCAGCACAGTTGTTCCAGGATAAACTTACTTTAAAAAATTGGTCAGTGCTCTATTTCAGCACTACTTGTGTTTATTGCCAAGCATTTTATAAAAGATCTTCAAGTATTAGTGCTGACACTGGATAGACACAAGCAAAGCAACAAGCCTAGCTTACATCACATCTATGTTTACATAATTTTTTGTCCATCTTCAAGGAAATATAATTTTGCAGATGAGATGTTATCACAGTCTTTACATTTGCAACTAAATTTCTTTCCTTTTTTTTTTTTTTAAGATTTTATTTATTTATTTGACAACGAGAGAGGGAACACAAGCAGGGGGAGTGGGAGAGGGAGAAGCAGGCTTTCCACGGAGCAGGGAGCCCGATGCAGGGCTCGATCCAAGGACCCTGGGATCATGACCTGAGCCGAAGGCAGACATTTAACTGACTGAGCCACCCAGGCGCCCCGTAACTAAATTTCTAATTTGTTGAGCTATTGCATCTATGGAAAGTAGCTTGGCCATGACTTCTTTGACGGATTTTTCATCCAGCAGGCATTTCCTGAGTAATGTACAGGCTTTGTTAGTCTCTCAGTTATCATTTGCCCTTTTGCAGCCAGTGCAACACAATAATTTAACCTGTACGATGCTTCAGTGGGTTTTTCATTTCTAGTTTGAAAAGTGGTAACAAAAACGCTCTGACTTTTAAAGAGCCCACCGTGTTTAAAACATTTAATTCCCTTTCCTTTCTTACTTACAGTTTTGCCCAGAAACTTCCCTTTATCTGAGTCAGAAAATCCTCTGATATTGAAGTCAATGTCACATTTTTCAGCATCTTCAGATGTGGCAAGATTGAGAAAGCAAGTCTTCTAATCTCCCTTTTGTAAGCCAACGAAAGAACCTAAAGTTAAAAAGGGTAGAGACAAAATTTTATTTTGAATAAAATATTAAATTCTAAAAGAATAACAGTTTTAAATAAAATTTAAACATCTAGAAACTTTTTCAATAAATTAAAAACTATTCTTGGAAAGCAAGTCGACAAAACGAACTTTTTTCTCGCGTTTCTTCATAGGTGTAAGGACAGTTTAGGGATTTCTAAAAGCCATTTATTGGATGATTGACGGGGTTACAGAGATTAGGTATAAGGGAAGATAGCTTGTAAGAACACACTAGAAGTACTAAGGAGAAACAGTTAATCTCTGAAAGCGCACATGTTTATACCCGAAGCCTTAGAAGGGTTCCAGAAAACAGAGGAGTACTCAAGCACACATTTCACCAGCCAACAAAGCTCTTAAGTCGACTATCCTCTTGAAAACTTCTCTGTATACTCCTTAAAGGATGAGAGCGAAAACAGCAAACAACATTTAAGTAGTATTAGGCATGTAGCTTTGACTTCGTGGATCCCCTGGAAGGGACCCAGAGACCCTCAGAGGTCACCAGACCGCATTTTGAGAACCACTGTACTAGATTCTGTTCTAGGTAGAAGCTGGGGTAACAGCAATAGATAAACTATCCCCTCCACAGGGAGATAAGGTATTTCTGTAGTGGCCGCTGTGATCAGCTCTGAAATGACAAAGAACGGAGCAATGGGAGCGGGGAGGCAGGAACACCTATCCTCGTCTGCCTGGCAGTCGGCCGGGGGTGGGGGTGGGGGGTGGCCTCGCGACCACTTCCTTCCCCTTCCCGACTGCGTCTCCGAATCCCCGGAGAAGAGGGGTGGTTAGGAAGCGGCAGTGACCGCGACACCCCGGCGTGAGGAAGGCGCAGGACAGGCGCGCTGTCATTCGACACCGCCGGTGTAACCAGCTCCCTCAGGGTCCCAGGCACGTGGCGCTGGGGGCCCGCGCCGTCCCGCCCCTCGGGGTGCGGGTGGAGGGAGGTGGGGGCGGATTGCTCGCAGTCCCGCAGCCTGGGAGTGGAGGCCGAATGGGGGCCAGCAATGTGTGCCTCCCGATGCGGTCTCGCGCGGCGCGGAGGCGGCTAAAGGGAAAGGGAGACCTTGGAGGGCGAAGCGTGAGAGGGACCGGCCCCAGCGGCTACCTTAAGAGGGACCCGGCGTGAGATGCCAGGGTTGCCGTCGAAACCGGACGGTGCGGTCCTTCTCTTCCTCCCTAAGAGGTCCCCACCGCGCGCCAGGCGAGCTAGCCGCCCTTCGCAGCGCGGACTCTCGCGCCCTCCGGCGGCCTCTCTTGAGAACGACACTGTCCTTGTCCACGCTGGACGCAAATAAAGATTTCTTCTTCAAACAAACAGGAAGTGTCTACGGAGGCCGGGCCGGCGGCTGGGCAGGGGCAGGGCATGAAGCCGGGCGGCGACCGGATCGCGGGCGGTGGCGGCGGTGGCGGCGATGAGCGACATAGTGGAGAAGACGCTGACGGCGCTGCCGGGACTCTTTTTGCAGAACCAGTCGGTTGGCGGGCCCGCGGGCGTCAAGGCGTCTTTTTCCTCGCGCCTGGGCGGCCTTGTCCGCGGCATCACCGCGCTAACCTCCAAGCACGTAAGTGCTCGGCGGGCGGGGAGGTCAGGGGCGCCGGGGGGGAGGCCCCCGCGCTGCGAGGCCCGAGTCCGGCGGCGAGCCTCCGGGGCCGGCCCTCTGGCGGGGCTTACGGACTGCCTGTTTGTCAGTCCGTCCCTGCGTCTGTCTGGAAGCGTCACTTTCCTTCTCGGACTGACAGCCGGGAGGCCGAGTTTCCACAGTTGGCCGTGACCCTGAGTCATTATTATCTGGGGCCGGTCTCTTTAATATTTGAGCCTCCGTGTGTTTCCTGAACGTTGAAGTGGAAAAGTACCAGTACGTATTCCATAGGTTGTTTCGAGGATTAGATGAGCCATCAAGCGAGGGAAAATACCGAGTGCTGTGGGAGTGTCAGCATTGTTTACCTTCTACAAAGTTTCTTTACAGGTTCTTTCTCTCCAGTTCTTTCACACATCGGAACACACCCTGCCCTCTGAACCTATTGTTCAACATCTTTGGAGAGCTTGAGGTTCTTACGTTAGACCAACAGGGTGGGCAAAGAAAAAGCGTTAATTCTCCCAAAATGTAAAATTTGTTATCTCAGCCTCAGATGGGCTTTGAAAATGACTAAATTAGAAAGTATTAAGTTTCCACAAACTTTGATAGTTGAACGGATTGTGTAAGATACTTTGTTATGTCGTAATTTGCTCAAAAGTTAATTTATGAAAGAGGTTATGTGTTAGACACTGAGGAAAAAGAGTAAAACAAATTTTCTTTTCCCCAAGGAATTGGTCCTTCAACTTGGGCTTAAGACGGGTATAAACAATATACAATGACATATAAGTGCCCAATATACAATGACATATAAGAGAGAAGGAATGACAGAGAGAAGAATTTTCTTCAAAATGCCCTTGGGGTTTAAAACATTCTTTTTAAGCTGAAATAAGATGATGCTCTGCTGGATGCTGTATTTCTGCTTCACATTCAGAAATCATTATTTATGGACATAATACTGTTTGTCTTAACATTTTGTCCTTTACTAATTTCTGTGAGATTCTGAGTGAAATATTTTTAAAAATTATTTTTTGGTCTTAAATTGCATTTGAAACTGTACATAAGATATCTAAATGTGGCAGAATCTCACGAGGAGTTCTTGAGTAAGCTACCTAATGGACATCTGCTGATTCAATGTGTAATTTAAAGATAGCATTCTGTTAGCCAAAAATGGGGCCAGTATTCAAGTGTGCTAAGGAGATGAAATACAATGCAGGCGGTAGAAGTAATCACATTGGTGTATTTGTTGTCTGTATGAGAGAGAGATGGGAAGTGAGGAAAAGGATATGAGGAATAAGGAGAAAAGAAGAGGGAAGAGTATAGCTTAAGGGAAAAAGACTGATTTCTGTTTCTTCCTTCTTACCCTGTTTCTCTTTTCTATGAAGACTTTTTACTTTTATTTATTTCTTAAGATCTTTTTATTTTTAAGTTACCTCTACACCCAATGTGGGGCTCAAGCTCAGAACCCCAAGATGAAGAGTTGCATGCTCCACTGACTGAGCCAGCCAGGTGCCCTAGGACTTTTTACTCTTAAAGCGAAGGTGTGAGAACCTTATTCTGGACGAGTACATGAAAAATGTCTTCTTTCTCTCCACCTTTAATTCAAAACAAAGCAAAGCAAAACAAAACAAAAAATATTTTCTGCTAAACTGTCCTTGAGGGGACAGTAATTAAGTGAAGGAAAGAGGAATGGTGGATTATTCTTTCCAGGAATGATTGGGAGGGTTTGGAGAAATGCCTTTAGGCTAATCTTAAGCACGTAACTTTTAGAACTGTCCTTTAAAATAACGTTGTTGGTTTTTTTTTGTTTAAAGTATTATGAATTATAATTTTCTTTTTAAGAAATATTGTTACAGTTTGAAAAGACCATTATTTGTGCATTTAAGTACTTTCACTTTTTTAGGAGGAAGAGAAACTAATCCAGCAGGAACTGAGTAATCTGAAAGCAACTGTTTCTGCTCCTGCAACAACACTGGTAAGTTTGCATAGTCAGTGCCAGTACATTTTATATTTGAAGTCTGGTCCACTGTGGAGTCTGTAGTGGCATCTAATTGATCAGTTGCTAAAATCTAATTTATCATAGTCACAATCAGTTATGGATGGTAGCAAGTCAGACATCAGCTTAAGTTTTTTATTATTGACTGACTGCACCATAGCAAGACGTGCTTGAGTGATGTCAATTCACTGCCAACGTGATGATAGTTACATAAATGTGGCAATACTCATGGGACCCCAGTGCTGAACTTACTGTTTTAATGTTGTGCACTGGGAAAAGGTTACGATATATCATTTAAGGTAATATTTTCAGTCCTGAATTGGTGTATTATAGATCTCTCATTTTACTATTCTACATCATCTTGGAATATAGGTGAACGAGGTAGAAAAATGGTTTTCTTGCCGTAAAAAAGTGTATTGCACAACAGCTAAATCAAGTTGCAGTTATTTTAGAACTTGAGTTCCATATAACTTGATTTCTCAAACAGCATTCTTTTAGCAGCTATTTAGTGAGTAGCCACTATATGCAGGCCACTGTCCCCACATAGTTAGATTAAGACCTAAGTTTTTTCTTTTAATTTTCATGTGGCTTCATATAGTGAGATTTTGCCAAGCAACATTATTCAGCAAATATTTAGTGAGTGCCTTCTATGTGTAAGTCACTGTGGAAGTATTCTCCCTCTTCTAATAAAAATATTGGGGTGATCATTTTGCATGAACACAATAGTGTACATGAATAACATTTCTTCTTTGGGGGGGTTATTTTTATTATTATTTTATTATTTTATTTTATTATGTTATGTTAGTCACCATACAATACAGCACCAGTTTTCTTTCTTTCTTTTTTTTAAAGAGAGAATGAGAGAGAGAGAGAGCGAGCACATGAGAGGGGGGAGGGTCAGAGGGAGAAGCAGACTCCCTGCTGAGCAGGGAGCCTGATGCGAGACTCGATCCCGGGACTCCAGGATCATGACCTGAGCTGAAGGCAGTCGCTTAACCAACTGAGCCACCCAGGCGCCCCCACAGCACCAGTTTTCGATGCAGTAATCCACGATTCATTGTTTTCGTACAACACACAGTGCCCCATGCAGTATGTGCCCTCCTTAATACCCATTACCGGGCTAACCCATCCCCCTAACCCCCCTCCCCTCTAAAACCCTCAGTTTGTTTCTCAGAGTCCATAGTCTCTCATGGTTCATCTCTCCTTCCGATTTCCCCCCTTCATTTTTCCCTTCCTTCTCCTAATGTCCTCCATGCTATTCCTTATGTTCCACAAATAAGTGAAACCATATGATAATTGACTTTCTCTGCTTGACTTATTTCACTTAGCATAATCTCCAGTCCCATCCATGTTGATGTAAAAGTTGGGTATTCATCCTTTCTGATGGCTGAGTAACATTCCATTGTATATATGGACCATGTCTTCTTTATCCATTCATCTGTTGAAGGGCATCTCGGCTCTTTCCACGGTTTGGCTATTGGGGACATTGCTGCTATGAACACTGGGGTGCATATGGCCTTCTTTTCACTACATCTGTGTCTTTGGGGTAAATACCCGGTAGTGCAATTGCTGGGTCATAGGGTAGCTCTATTTTTAATTTTTTGAGGCACCTCCACACTGTTTTCCAAAGTGGCTGTACCAACTTGCATTCCCACCAACAGAGTAAGAGGGTTCCCCTTTCTCCACAACCTCTCCAACATTTGTTGTTTCTTGCCTTGTCCATTTTTGCCATTCTAACTGGTGTGAGGTGGTGTCTCAATGTGGTTTTGATTTGAATTTTCCTGATGGCTAATGATGATGAACATTTTTTCATGTGTCTGTTAGCCATTTGTATGTCTTCTTTGGAGAAGTGTGTGTTAATCTCCTCTGCCCGTTTTTTGACTTGAACATTTTTAAAGTCTAAGAGAATGTATATATTTCCTTTTGTGATCATAGAAATATTTGGACAAATGAAGCTCAAAGCATAGTTAATCTGATATATTTATGTGTATATAGGTATATGTGTGTGTGTGTTTAGGTATGTATATGTGTGTATATGTATGAAATCATTGTGGTATTTATTCATGATACTTGATAGAAATGTTAAGCAGAAATGGTTTCTCTCCTTTTACTTTGTTTGATTTCCATTTTTTATAATTGACACATCTGGAGAAATAAGATAAATAGGTAGAAGTTAGGGAGCCAGAGTTTGGAAGGAAGATTTTGTTAGAATTATAGACATCCAACTCTGGGCATGCTTTTTTTTTTTTTTTAAGAGAGAGAGAGCAAGGGAGCATGATGGGGCAGGGGCAGAGAGAGAAGGAGAGAGAGAATCTCAAGCAGGCTCCATGCTCAGCTTGGAGTCCCATGCAGGGCTCCATCCCATGACCCTGAGATCATGACCTGAGCCAAAATCAAGAGTCGGATGCTTAACCAACTGAGCCACCCAGGTGCCTCTCTGGGCATGCTTTATTGTCTGTCCCTGAGTGGTTGGGTAGAGGTTGCATGACAGTTTGTTAGAGAAATTGTAAAAAAAATTTCTGCTTTGGGGAATGGACTTCTCTAAAACTAGGAGAATAATAATGTATGCAATATAATTTTTTTTTGAAACATTTATTTATCATAGTTCTGGAGGCTGGAAGTCCAAGATTTAGTTCCTGCTGAGGGGCAATATAATTTTAATTAAATAGAGCTCATAGTGACCTTTGAAAGACTCTGAGATAAAAAGTTACAAAACCGGGGTGCCTGGGTGGCTCAGTTGGTTAAACGGCTGCCTTCAGCTCAGGTCATGATCCTGGGGCCCTGCATTGGGCTCCCTGCTCAGCGGGGAGCCTGCTTCTCCCTCTCCTGCTCCCCCTGCTCTCTCTCTCTCTCTCTCTCTCTCTGTCAAATAAATAAATAATAATAAAAAAATCTTAAAAAAAAAGTTACAAAACCAGGGATGATACTTAATGGATTAGATGAATACTTTCACTCCTTATTGATGTGGAAGCTTTTTATTTATTTGAAAGAGAGGGAAAGCATGAGAGAGAGAGCATGAGTGGGGAGGCAGAGGGAGAGGCAGGAGCAGACTCCCCACTGAGCAGGGAGCCCGATGTGGGGCCCAATCCCAGGACCCTGGGACCATGACCTGAGCCCAAGACAGATACCCAACCGACTAAGCCACCCAGGGTCCACAGATGTGGAAGCCTTTGAAGAGGAACTTCCAGTATCTTTTAAGCTTGTTTTTTTCAGTATTTAGTAGTCTTAACATACTAATGAATTAACTTTTATTACTTTAAACGTAAGTGACCTGAATTTTGTGTAATATACTAACTCTAGTTAATTTTTAGATATTAAAATAGGCTCTGGGCTTATTTTGAAACATTTTATTTATATTTTTTATTTATGATTAAAATTTGCTATAAATATTGAGAATGCAAATATTATTATGCTAATAAAACATTGTAGAATCTCCTAAAACAACTTATTAGCTTGTGTTGTAAATATTGAAAGACCCAGTTAAAAAATTAAATACTGGAATAGTAATATGATTAATGATATCATGCCCTTCAGTTCCTGATAACTGAGAGTTATTTAAAAAGAATGCCTGTAAAACAAACTGTTGCATGTTATGTACAGCAAGATAAATCTGAAGAAAGTTTGGGTGCAATTTTGTTTTTAAATGTAAAAATTATTTTCTTTACAAATTATTACCAGCTTTTGGGAATTTTATGGATGTTTTCATTTGACAAAGTATATTAAAATGATGTGCTCCAATCTAGAAGCCAAGTCATATTACCATGGGTGAAATTTTGTCTGAAGACCATGTGTCTCATCTTATAACCAGATTTTACACAGGGACACCTAGAACTAGAAAGAGGTATAGTTGGGACGCCTGGGTGGCTCAGTCAGTTGAGTGTCCGACTCTTGATTTTGGTTCAGTCATGATCTTGGGGTCGTGAGATCGAGCCGGACGTTGGGCTCCATGCTGAGTGTGGAGCCTGCTCAAGAGTCTCTTGCTCCCTCTCCCTCTGCCCCTCACCCTGCTTGCGCACATGCACGCTGTCTCTCAAATAAATAAATAAATCTTAAAAAAAAAAAAAGAAATAGCTACAGTTGATTTATTTTATAATGTTGCCACTAACAAAATGTTAAAATAATTTTACTAAAATCAATACTGTTGGTAAGCTAAGTTTTGGAGCAACTTTTATTTATAAAGTTTGACTTCAGGTTATGAATTTATAATATGTGTATGTTTTTTTCTTCAATGCCAGGATTAAGGGATTTCCTTGTGAAAGCAACATAATTTAAAAAAAATCAAAGTATTCTATTTATTTATGCAGTTACTGGATATTTTGCTTTGCAGAAAATGATGAAGGAATGTATGGTGAGACTTATATATTGTGAAATGCTTGGATATGACGCTTCCTTTGGCTACATACATGCAATCAAGTTGGCACAACAAGGAAACCTTTTAGAAAAAAGAGTAGGTATGTATGTGTGTAAGATTTTTATACTTAATGTTGCCCTTAAAGTTCCAGCAACTATGTAAAATCAAGGATGGTGGGTATATAGTGTGTTTTTAGAACACTGCCTTGTAATTTCCAAAGCTTTAGAAGAGAACACTTCAAAAACTCAGACCTATAAGTGAAATCAGTCTTACTGATCCATAGCATTTTGGAAATTTGGAGAAGATTAAAAATTGCCGTTTTTGTGATAGATGACTATCTATTTGTCAAAACTCATTAAGCCATACACTTAAAAAATGAGTGAATTTTCTTGTGTGTAAATTATACCTCAGTAAAGCTGATTTTAAATTGACCTCATCAGTTTAATGATCAAAAATGTTTCTTTATAGAATTAAAAACTGAAATTGACTTGAATAATATTAAATATACTGTTTTTAGTTTCATAAATGTTAGCTGTGAGGATTAGAGGTATCTTTTAAAAAGTTTTGGCTCTTTAATCAACCTTTAGGGCTATTAGGAAATATCCTTTAAATTAAGGACTTAAATCTTTTACTCATGTAGGTTCAGCTATGTATCAGAATCCAAGAAGGAAACACATGAGAGTAATAGAGGAGTACAACATGTTCTTTATTCAGAGGAGTTGATAGTATAATGTTTTCAAGGACCAGCATTCTTCACAAATTATATTCACCTCTGTCAGATGATGGGGTAGGGGAGGAGATATTTTGGTAAAGATTCTGAGACTAGGTACACCCAGTATTCTATTTATTGAAACTCACTCCACTCTTCTAGATCTGTTGTATTCTTCCCTCCAAGGGGAATGTCCTCTGGCATCCTGTCTGTCCCTCTTTGTATTCCAAATCAAGTTTTAACTCTTCTGTGATCCCTGGGGTGGCTTTTACCATCTGTCATCTTATGGTGTTGCCTTTTCATGTATTAATGTTTTAGCTCTCGAACTCATTCTAAGATCCCTAAAGGCAGGGAAATTTTTGAAAACAATAGGTAGTCAATATTAGATGGTTGGTGCTCTAATTTTGTACAGCTGTTGCTATGTTGTGCTTCTTAGACTTTCATATAATTTTTTTCATTTTCTACCTAATTTAAAAAATATAAAAAGTGTTTCATTGTTCAAAAGTTAAGACCTTATTAAAAGGTATAATCAAAGAAGTCTCGCTTTTATCTCTAGCCCCTCTTACCCAGTTTGTTCCTTACTCCCATAGGTAACTATTTTCATTAGTTTCTGATTAATCTTTCCATTGTTTTCTTTTTGTAAAACAAGCAAATGCACCTTTATACTCAAACCCTCTCTCTTATACTAAAGATAGCATGGCTATATAGATTATTCTATGCCTTGTTTAGACATCTTCATACTTTTCTACAGTTGCATCATTTTCTTTGGATGGATGGATAGGCCATAGTTTTTTCAACCAGGTCTCTATTGGTGGACATATGGGTTATTTTTTATTTTTTGCTTTTGTAAATAATGTTGCAGTGAATAACCTTGTACATGTGTTATTCATAGTTATAAAAATTTTAACAGAGACCTCGGACTCATTTTTATTGAGGTTTATGATCTTTGGGAAATATTTTATTTTTTTATTTTATTTTTTCAAATGTTTTATTTATTTATTCATGAGAGAGAGAGAGAGAGAGAGAGAGGCAGAGGGAGAAGCAGGCTTCCCGCCCAGCAGGGAGCCCGATGTGGCACTCGATCCCAGGGTCCTGAGCCGAAGGTAGACGCTCAACCATCTGAGCCACCCAGGCGCCCCTGATCTTTGGGAAATATTTTATTGCCATGTAGAGGGACATATATCTGTAGCTATCAGACATTTTTTATGTGTGCGAATAAATAGAAGTGTTTTTTTTTTTAAGATAGCATTTAAACCTGTATGTCTTCACTCTGGTGCTATTGCCTCTTCAGCTCTCTAGAGATTTCTGTGAATAGCTTTGGTGCTTTCTCTGATGGAGATGCCTTCTTATTTTTTATAGGAATATTGTTGAATAAAATACATTTCAGTACATTAGATCAGGTATTATGTTAGGTGCTTCATCTTGCGAGATAGGAGAAAACTGAGGCTCAGAAAGGTTAAGTCACTTGTCCAAGGTCATACAGCTAGTAAATGGTGGATCCTGAATGTAAACCCAAGTTTCTATGAGTCAAAGCTTGTGTTCTTATCCTATATGTCACTTTTTTATATCAAACATATTTCATAATCATAGTCATTATTCTCTGTCTTCTGGAACCTTTTCATCTTTTGAGTCACCAAATATTCTCTCCCCTGTTTCCTGAGTGTCAAAATAGTTAGGATATTTTTTATAACAGATAGAATTAGGATTTTTTTGAGATGGTCTTTGAATTTGTTTATCTTCTCATACCTTGGTGTTGGTGACTTGGGTGTGGGTGGTACTATAGCTGATCATGTGAGTTCTCAGCAATCTGATAAGACTTAATCTCTTTAAATGCTCCCTAGGGTTTTTCTCAATTCTTTCTTGCCCCTGGTTAAATTCTCTTTTCTTTCTCATGCTGCTACTAACTGGTTGTGAGAATAGGTAGTTTCTAACAGCTTTCCCATGATTCCAGCAGACACACACACACACACACACACACACAGTGTGTGGCTAATGATGGGGACAGTTGACATTAGAATTCCTAATGAGAGGACTGAAAGATTGGGAAGAATGGAAAACAATGAGGGTGGAAGTCAAGGAATAGGACCTCAGTGTAGACTGTGTGGAGAGACAGGACAGCATAGGTATTAAAATATGAGCTAATTCCCACTGACTGGGTTTGAGTGTTGGCTCCATCGTGTACTAGCCATAGACTTTGTGCAGTTACCCTTTTCGGGCCTCATATTCTTTTGGGGGTAATAATACTTCATAGAGTTGTGAGGATTGGATGAGGTGAGGCTTGTAATGTACTGACCCATAGTAACTGTCTTACAAATGTTATCAGTATGAAAGGGTGACAAGAAAATGACTTGGAGTATCTAGAGTCCATGTACATGGCATCTGTCATAGTATTAATGTATTTCCTCAATCCTGAGATGTACTTTTTTATGTTTTAATATTGAAATAAATATGCTTACTTAAATCAATGATTACATTTAATGTGGTAGACAGTGCTTCTTTCCTCAACAACTGTTATTCCTTCAGTAGTGTATCTTCATATTGAGGAAATAGGGTATTGTTTATGGCTTAATATATGATTTACACCATATAGGTTGGTATTGGGTGGCTCATTCAATAATAAATAGCCAGTAACTCCCTAGTAACTATAGTAGCTATTAGTTTTTGAACAGTTGTATGTTTGAAAATATTTTGATTGATTGTGTAGAGATACGCACAGAAGATAGAAGGCATATATTTCTTATGTCATTTATAGGACTTTAAGTTGGTACAGATAGCCTCTTTTTCATTTCAGGTATATCGTGTGATACATAATTATGAAAGATTTTAGGATAAAGAACATCTGAAATCTTCCTGAAGTTTTTGAACCTCATATTTTGCAATCTGTCTTTATAGTTACCTGTAGCTGTTATCTTTGACACTTAAATTTTTGAATATATTATTGCTTTGTTTAATTTCTTGGGAAAAGTTCATTTTTGGCAGCTAATAATGAGACTTTTCCCCTCAAATTTTATAGGTTATTTGGCTGTTTCTTTATTTCTTCATGAAAATCATGAACTGTTGCTTCTCCTTGTGAATACAGTTGTAAAGGTACTGTATTGTATGTTGGTAAATATGAAGTCTTAAATTACCCTTCCAGGCAGCTGACATTTCACCTCAATCATACTGAATTAGATATTTTTGGAAGAAGCCAGTCTTACAGAATGGGCTTAGAAAGATCTTTTGGATCAGTTTCTGAGTTTGTAAAATGAGGCTAATAATAGAACTTAATCCAGTTGTAAGGGTTAAATGAAACATGCTCCTGCTGCTGTTATTACGGTTTCATTTGAAAGCAGATCCCTAGATTTTTAGTCAGATGCACTTTTCCAGCTGTTGTCTTTTTCTCCAGGATCCGTACTGAATGTACAAATGAATTAGAAAGTTAGTAGAAAACTGTTAAGTATGTAGGACTATTGCCATGTTGAACTCACTGAGTTTCAGAATTTGCGCTGAATCTTTTGTTTGCTTAATCATTACATCAGGATTTGCAGAGCACTAACCTGGTAGAAGTGTGTATGGCACTTACTATTGTCAGCCAGATTTTCCCTCGAGAAATGATTCCAGCTGTTCTTCCATTAATTGAAGATAAACTTCAACATTCTAAGTAAGTAAATTATTTTTGGATACATGGCTATACTATATATTTCAGAACAAAAATTCAAACTAAAAAATTTATTATAACTTTAACTTAATGCTGTTAGGGTGGAGGCTGTCCTTTGACTGCCGCATATAATGCAAAAAATCTCTGATAGCATCGTCCTTTATTTTATGTGGGTTCGAGAAAATGCCAGGCAGCTTTCTAAAGTTAAACTGAGAGGCAGTGAGGTTTAGTGTCAGGAATCTGTGGCTTTCCTCTCAGTTCTACCACAAACCAGCAGTGGTCCTGTTTTTCCTTTGGCTCTGTGGGTTTGGTTGAAGCATGTTAGTTTTCACAAAGTTGTTTTAAGGATAAAGTGAAATAATGGAAAAAATCTGGCAGTGGTTCCAGTACTATGAATGCAGAGCTTCAATGTATTGGGGTTGATTTCATAGCAAAACTGCAGCGTTCAAATTCTATTTTATAGCAGAGTATATCCAGATAAACCTTAACTTGTAGTATTTTGCTAATCTTATAAGATTCCTTAATTCTCTTTATCAGCTTGACTTACTTTTTCACCAATTATTTTTTTTAAAGATTTTATTCGTTTATTTAAGAGAGAGTGAGAGCAAGAGCAAGAAAGCACAAGCGGGGTGAGGGACAGAGGGAGAAGCAGGCTCTTCACTGAGCAGGGAGCCCGATGCTGGGCTTGATCCTGGGACTCCCGGATACTGACCTGAGCCGAAGGCAGTCACTTAACCGACTGAGCCACCCAGGTGCCCCTGTTTTGTTTTCTTATTTCATTTTTGTTCTGTTTTCAACCAAGCGCCTTAACTTCATAACCTTTAGGGCTAGGAAAAAGTTTGCAATCACTTTTTCCTTTTTTTTTTTGTGATTACAGTATTTTAGTTATATATACATTCTTAATTTTTTTTGTTATTCATGCAATATTTATTTTACATGTCTCTTTAAGCTAGTATTTTTAGTGTTCTGACATTATAAAATGTTGTCTTATGATTTGTATTCTTTCAGAAATTTTGGACCATGAATCTTCTGGCTAAAATGATAGCTCTTACTAAGAATTATAGAATAACTTCATAGGCTTTTCAGACTTGCTTTAATGTTTTATTTATGTCAGATCTGTGTTGAGAACAAATGATGGCTATAGACAATTAATTACTGGAAATAAAATACTGTTTTTCTTAGATAATTACAGGTTGATCTGATCATAGCAGAGCATTATTTTTATGCAATTTTTCCATATCCCCATTGTTTTGTGGTAATCAAATACTGAGCGTTTATATGAAATCCTTCTGAGAACTGCATTTTTCCTCATTGCTTCCCATGTACTCTAATTTCAAAACCTGGCCTCTCCTGTCTTCCCCCAGTTAGACTTTTTGAAACTCTACTTCTGCTGTTGTGGCCATACCCAACTCCATGCAGAAGAACATGGGTCAGAACTATAGGTAGGCCAGTGGATGTCACAAACATGTGACTTGGACTTGACTTTCGAATTTCACCGTGCCAGCCTCTGTCCAGGTCTCCTGATGTCTTTTGTTAGGCCTGCGGATTCCTGAGCCTGTTGAGTGTTTGCCTTCTTTTATCCTACTTCATTTACCTATTCTCTCTCAGAACTGAAATTGGTTAACACTCAATAGCAATACACTGAGATGTAGTTTACAGCCACCATAGTATGAATAATATTAATGGCAAATCTTGTGTTAGTCTGCTTTTGCTGTCTCTGTAAAAAGAATTTTCCATCATCGCATAGTTTGGCTAGGAAGATAGTGAGTTGCTTGTTAATGGAATTTAGAAGAAGCTAAGTTTGACATTTGTTAGGAATTTATAAAAGGTATTCTTGACTGGAACACAGAGGATTGCATTGAATAATCTCAATTTTGAGATTCTGTGATTTAAGGTAAGAGAAATACCTAAAAGTAAATATTTCACTTTTGTGACATTTGCTGCTGTTATGAGCACTGCCAGCATAGCCTGCAAATATGAAATATTTAGAAATAGGCACATGAGTGAGAATAACAAGGAATATGCCTCCTTGGAAAATACATTAGAATATAGGATTGTTATTTTTGCTTCTTGTGTGCTAGACATTATCTGTTACAAATTAAGTGTAGGGTTAGTGTATACTTTCCTCTTCATTTTTTTTTTTTCAAGTTTTTATTTGAGAGAGAGAGCAAGTACAAGTGAGAGGGTCGGGGGGGAGAGGCAGAGGGAGTAGCAGACTCCCCACTGAGCAGGGAGCCTAATGCAGGGCTCGATCCCAGGACCCCAAGATCATGACCTGAGCTGACGGCAGACACTCAGCCCACTGAGACGCAGGTGCTCTTACTTTCCTCTTCACTGTAATGACATTTTTGAAACATGAGCTGGGCAAGGGGAAGAGTAACATCTTTTAATGTGAGTCTCCCTTTCTATTGCCCTGCCCCCCTAAAGTATTTGGAATATGCTTGCCCATGGTACAAAAAAAGAAATATTAAAAGGTAGAATGTTAATGAGATTTTCGATATTAATAAAGAGACTGTTTAATATTACTAGGCAGAATTACCTCTTATAGATTAGAACTGTTGATTCCTTCCCAGTTTATAGAGAGATGGCTTTCAAAAGTGGAATTAGGGAATGAAGGAGTTTGTTTTTCTTCCTTGTTTGTTCTAGTTTCAAAAAAAATAAATACATGCTTGTTACCAAAAATTATGTAACTAAAGATATATATAACGTGGGCAGTTAGTCTCTTGAGGTCTTACCTCTTGGAGATAACCACTTTTTATAGTTTGGTGGATTAGAATAAAGAAATAATAAATGTATAATTCTTTTTATATAGCTTATATTTTGAAATCATCTCATCTACAGTCTTTTCAAACTAAATGCATGACAAGTCAGATGGTTTGTTTAGATTTTATTTTTTATCTTTAGGGAGATTATACGAAGAAAAGCTGTTCTGGCATTATATAAATTCCACCTCATTGCTCCTAATCAAGTACAGCATATTCACGTTAAGTTTCGGAAAGCACTTTGTGACAGAGATGTTGGGGTCATGGCTGCTTCTTTGCACATATACTTTAGGATGATTAAGGTAAGTTGGAAATTTCAGGAGGTACTGAGTAGTTGCCGTCAGAGAAATTAATTATGGAATTAAAAGAAAACTCAGATTTTTCAGTAAAATGCTTAATTAACATTTCAGGTTTTTACTGTTGACTTTTTAATAGTAATTTTTGCAAGTTGTTTGATAGCATGAGTTGTAGGCATATTACAGAATTAGTCTGTTTTTTAAATGACTAAGATTTTTTGAGTTAACTAAAGGTGTATGGAAAAATAGCTATAGAAGAAAATTGAAATGTGCAGATTTGTGGTTTTTCAAGCAGTGAACTTTCTTTTAAATTTTTTAAAAATATTTTTATTTATTTATTTTTAAAGATTTTATTTATTTGACAGAGAGAGAGACACAGCAAGAGAGGGAACACAGAGGGAGTGGGAAAGGGAGAAGCAGGCTTCCTGCCGAGCAGGGAGCCCGATGTGGGGCTCGATCCCAGAACCCTGGGATCATGACCTGAGCCGAAGGCAGACACTTAATGACTGAGTCACCCAGGCACCCATAAAAAAAAATTTTATTTATATACCAGAGAGAGAGCGAGCACGAGCAGGGGAGGGGCAGAGGGAGAAGAAGCAGACTCCTCGCTGAGTGCGGAGCCCAACTCGGGGCCTGGTGTGGGGCCTGATCCTTGGACTCTCTGATCACTTAACCATCTGAGCCACCTAGGTGCCCGAAGCAGTGACTTTCTTTTATACAACTTTATAGCTTATAGAAATGAGGAGAGCCAGTGGGGGTTGTGCCAGGTATATGGACTACAGTGTTGACTCCTTACATTATACTGTGTCAAATGAAAAAAGAAGGTTGAATGGTATGGTAAAATTTTCTAAATGGTGATACAGATTTACACTAATTCAGCTCCAATGAATTGCCTGAAACCCTTTGTATGTTTTATATGTGTGTGAGAGACTCCATGAGTATTATATAACAAAATGGCATATGTTATTGAATTCAGTTTACAATTACAGAATTGAAGATTGTCCTCATTTTTATGTATTGTGCTCAAAAATGGATTGGTATAAATAGATATTTCATGTTAAATCTTATTTTTCCTCTAATGTTTACTAAACTTTGAAAGAGCTATTATTTCCCTTCCAAAAATGTGCCCTTGATAATGAAATAAAAATTATAATGAAGAATCTGATGTTTACTTTGAAGAATGTATATGTAATTTCCCCAGTCCAAGAGATTAGTTAGATAGATAAGCAAAGCATACTCACTCAGAAACACAGGTATGTTTAAATACTGTAGGGTTAATTAATTTTTTAAAAGGCAGATGCACTGATTTGGGGAGGTTTGAATGGTTGAGTAGTCTTGACTGTGCCTTGTGCTCTTCCACCCAGAACACATTTAGATCGTTTACATGAGAAGTCTTTTGCAAATAAAGTTCGGAGATTGCAAACAGGCCTTGATTTTCATCAAAAGTAGAAATAACACTGCCCCTTTTCAGTATGCCAGTTTTTTTCCCTTTTTGATATAATTGCTGATACTGTCTAGTAAAAGATCTATATAAGATGTAATTATAAGAATTTATGAAATGTGATTAAGACTCTGTGGGGACAAGTAGCTTTTGGTGGAAGCTTTTTGGGGGATGATGCAGCTTTGGATCAGGTAGCCAGAGTAGTTTCATCAAGGAAGAAATAAAACTAACTAGATTAGAGTACTGTTTCATTAAATGTGCACATGAAACTTATAAGTGAACATATACTAAGTTAGATTCTGTATGGCATTTCAACCAGGTCTGTTTTATATTTGATAAGACATTATTATTAACAGAACATTTTTTGTTTTGTTTTTTGGGTATAGGAAAATTCATCTGGATATAAGGACTTGACGGGGAGCTTTGTAACAATATTGAAGCAAGTAGTTGGAGGAAAGCTCCCAGTAGATTTCAATTACCACAGTGTGCCCGCACCATGGTTACAAATCCAGCTCTTGAGAATACTAGGACTTCTAGGAAAAGATGATCAAAGGTAAACTATTCTAAGTAAACTTGATACCCTGATAGCCTGTCACCTAGAAGTTTCATAAGTCAGATTCTCCCATTGTTTAATTGGCTTAATAATGATAAATAAACCACTGTAAGAAGTACATAACAGGTTGCTAGGATAATTCGGGCTCTGTGCTTATCTAAGTCCTGCTCATAGGGACTTCTGAGGCTCCATATCTTTCATGAAGCCTTCTTAATCATTCTAGCTTAGGGATTGGGAAACTTTCTGTAAAGGGCCAGACAATAAATATTTTAAGCTTTGTGGGCTCTATGTTGTCTGTTGCAACCATTCAAGCCTGCTGTTGTATAGCTCAAAAGCAGCCATAGACATTACATAAATGAATGAACTTTGCTGTGTTCCAAAAAACTTTTTATGGATGTTAAACTTGAATTTCATATAATCTTCATGTGTTGTGAAATATTATTCTTTTGATTTCCCCCCCCAATAATTTAAAAATGTAAAAACCATTCTTATCCTGCAGCCATACAAAAACAAACATTCAGCCAGCATAGGCCTGCAGACTATAGTTTGCTGACTCTTGCTCTGGTTGGATGTGAGTGCTTCATCTTAATTCATTTGTCTGAGTTATCCTTTTAGCCAATACTTTCTATTAAGCTTTTTATGGGTGTCTATTCAGTTATATATATCTTTTATAACTTTATTTTGCCATAGCTTTTCAAACTTACAGAGAAGTTGCAAGAAAGTACAAGAAGCTTCCTTATACCCTTTACCTAGAGACATCAATTATTTGCATTTGTGTTATTTTTCTTTCTCACTCTCTGTATATGTGCATGTATGCACACATATTTTAAATTTTTTTTCCTGAACTGTTCAAGAGCAAGTCCAACTAGATTTTAGTTCCCTTGAGAGCAAGGACCATGGCTTGAGTCCTTGATGTGTTTCTCTCTTAAGAAAATATATGCTAAAAAAAAATCTGCTAATCAGTGTTTTCACTTTATGAAAGATGGTTCTTCTCTATGCAGTAGGGTACCTTCTAATTCTTCAGCGCTTTACAAAGGTATTGTCTTCTAGGCTCTTGCTCCTAGTAATGCCTTGTCAGTGTCATGTCAGTGTCCACCTGCCTGGAGCTCCTAAGGAGAGCTAATTGGACTGTATCACTTCTGGTACTGCTATGTTACTTTTTCCTGTGTTTCGGAATCTTAATTCCTGATCGAAACCTGAGTAAAAAAACTAGAGGTGATGGGAGTACATATGCACATTACAAATGTTTGTCCTAATTTTATTTTATATAATCCAGCCTATCCTATTGTGTAGCTCTAGTTGGAGTTCACTGGAAGTCTGTTTTAAAATCATGAATTTCATAGTAATGCAACCAGACCTCACTGGTCTAAAAAGATCCAGTGACAATATGTTGTTTACTAAATTCATTAACTCATTCCTTTATGGATGAATTTGGGGAATACGTACAAAGTTACAAAGAATATGTACAAAGAGAGAGCTTACCTCCAGAGAGCTCAGTTGAATAGAATTAGGCTCAATGAAATAAATAAAGAGTGGAACTCTTATGATGTTGTGGAACATTAGAATATTTTCTCCTTTGTCCCAACTCTGACATTTTATGTTAACACAAATCTTATGTTTCTCAAGACATGCTTAGCTCAGTGTGGCAAAGTAAAAATGTTATTTTATAACAGATTCTAATGTATTTAATGAAAGAGCTAATTTACTGGAAAAGTCTTCTTATATTTATATTCTTTTATGTCTGTTTGAATATTTTCTTGTGTTTTATAGCATTCTTAGTTTTAGGTTATTAATGTTGCTTGATCATGTCTGCAGATGTTTCCACATTTTCATGTGGTTAATTATGACTCCTACGCCAGACACTGGCTTTTAAAATTGAGAAACTAGACTGTAATCTAGGTGTAGTATTACCAAATTTGGGGCGGGGGAAGGGTTGTAATGTCTGCTTTGTGGTTATTGTCTGGAAAAAGTGCTTACACAATAAAATGAAGGATTTTAGAATAGGGTCCTGGATTCTCACTGGATAGTTATACTTTAGTCAAGACAGAATAAAAGCACATGCACTTCAAATTAAATTTTATAGCTGTATATTTGGAAAAAAGAAATTTTCTGAAAAAGATGTAACATACATCATGTGTTATTTGTGTAGCCTCACATTATTTTGATCTCTTTGTTTTATAGTGTAGTTTCTCTGCAAGACTGCTGCGTGTATTGTATGTTGATGGTAGTTCTTTTTTCTATTCGTGCTTTTTGAATTTGTAAAACATAGACAGAAATGCCAGTTGAGAAGCCATAGTTTCGCACTGACCTCTTGCAGAGGATTTTTCTAGGTTGGGAGGCAGAGTGCTCAACAAAGCACTGCATTTTCTTACAGTATCTACCTCAACCCAGTTACTGTAAATGTAATCAGTAAGCATAAAGGCATAGGTATGATACAAACCCATTTCACAAAATGTAATTTCTTTATATTTAACGTAAATGAAAGTTAAAATTTTTTTTCCAGAGAACCTGGTGCTGCTCAAAGAAAGACTAGTATTTGAATATTTTTTAAAGACTAGTGGTTACTGTCTGGAATAATCTGGATATGTGAGGTATTACTGTAGTAACTTGAAACAGGTAGCATATTTTATTATAAATAAAATTATAAAAGGTAGTATGTTCAACCAAACAAAAGCCTGATTCATAGACTAGGTACAGGTAGAGGAAAGAGTTGATTGACTTAGGGATATCTCTCCATTGACTAGTCAGCTTTGATAAAGCAGGAAATTAAACTCAAGAAAAAGAACATATGGAATCTTGGAGAAGTGAAATTCCCATAACTTCATAAAATGAATTTCTTTCACTTCTTTTCTGTAGATCCTCAGTTTTAAAGAGAGAGAAGTTTGAAAAACTGTTTTATTGAGTTATAATACTATAATTCTACTGCAAATAAAATATCTTTTAAACAGGACAAGTGAATTAATGTATGATGTTCTTGATGAATCCTTACGAAGAGCCGAGCTAAATCACAATGTCACATATGGTAGGTAACATATGTAAATGCTACTCTAATGATTAACAGTGTTTTTCAGGATTGTAACAAAATGTGTGTTAGAATACTATAAATTCCAAAAGAATTGTATATGTTAATTTTTAAGATGGTTCTTTGGGTTATTATTTTTCAGTGCAAGCATTAGATAACTAATAGAAATAATTTGAAATTATGGCATTGTTTTAAATGTTGGCCTAAATTCATTATTAAATTATCTCTCTTTTCTAAATATTTTAAAGAGAATTGTTTTTATATTGAAAGTATTCACTAAGGGTCTAATTGACTGTAAAAGTTAACACAGTAGATCTGTTCCGTACTTAGGAAGACAGTTCTTAAATAAATCAGTCAACTAGTCATCAAAGGTTCCTTACATTTCTGTGTTTTGTCAGGTCCTGTGCAAGGTGCTTGGAGTACAGTTACGAATAAAACAGTATTATCATTGATCTCACAGACTAGATGGAAAGGGTCAGGTGGTGTAAATGTTACAGAGGAGAATTCTAGGGTGCTGTGGGAGAAAGAGCAGCTAGCCTTAGGTGAGAGAAAGAACAAGGACAACCGAAGGAAGAGGAGAGCGTAGACAGAGATATATACGTGTGGGGCAGTAAATATGTAGGCGGTAGCTATATGTCACGTCCAGCTTTATAAAGCAAGTTAGTGATATGAGACAAGTAATTTGCGGGTGGAGGACTTAGGAAAGTAACCCAAAAACTTCCAAGCTTAATAGCCAGAGGGAGGAACTATTAGTTCTTTATTGATTAGTTTGAAAAAGCCCAGTAAAGAAATTGGGGTATTTGGAAATATTCAGAAGCAAAGTAAAGCAGTTTGAATTTTGCATGCACTGGAGAAGAGCAGTAAGGAGACATTGAGAGATTAACTCAGTGAGAAGTCATTTCTTAATCTAGTAAAATACTGTGAAGACCATTGTTCTTTCAGACAGTGGTAAACTGTGAATCTTTAAGGACAACGATTATAGAAACGTAGGGTGGACTAGAGGGCAGAGATTGCACTAGTTTAACTGTAGGAAAAATGCTTGACAAAGATGGAGTAGGAATGAGGAGAAAGGATTGCATGTGTAAGACTAGTACGAGGATGATAATATATATGATAGTAAATTGAGATGGTAAATTTTGTAGGATAGATTTATGTTTTGCATGAATAAATGGTAATTAAGGCAATAAAAGTGGCTTATTCACTTGTTCAACCAGGATTCATTGAAGGCTTACAGAACAAAAACAATTTGTAAACTAGGTACAGATTGAGGAAGGAGTTGATTGATTTATTTTTCTATGATGAGTCTGGGAGATTAAAGGAAAATGAGGTAGACACAGTCCCTGCCCTCATGAGTGTATAGCATAATGATGCCATTATGCTATAATATCCCATAATGATATTATCTAGGATCCTATTATCTAACGAGAAGAGTCAGGCCAGAGGTAAGGATGATCCTTACTGGCAAGGTGGTTTGGCTAGGAACTGCCAGAAGCTCCAAAGAAGTGTCAGAGTCTTTGCAGGCAGCCAAGTAAAAAGTTTTTTTTGAGATATAATTAACATGTAGGATAAGAGTTTAAAAGGCTCTCAAGGAATTCTGTTTAGAATCATTTAAGGATTTGCTTTTCTTTTTCTTACAGAAAGTTTTTGTTTTTGTTTTTTTGGTAATTGACATTTCAGCTTTAATTTTATTTTTTTGAATAGGTAATATATGCACATGGTTCAAAATTCAAAAGGTACGCAAAGGTATACAGTGAACAGTAATTGTCCCTTTGACCCTTACCACCCACCACCCAGTTCCCCTTCTTGGAGATAGCCACTGTTACCCATTCCTTTGATTTGGAGAATGCTCTATACCTGAGGAAATATTTTTTAATGTTCTCCACTAGGGCATCTTTCCTTTATTAAGATTCCTGGGACCAACACCAACAGTTTGTTTCTTTGTAGGCTGTCAGTCCAGTGTTCACCTTGCCATGGAAACCTTATAGTTTCTTTCGTTTTATTTATTTCCTTTATTAAACTTTCCATTGTTAGGCTCTCCCCCTTTTTGTATTGATATGGTTTATAACTTACAGTGATTTTATCATTGGTAGACTGTTATCTAGTAGTGCTAACATAAATATTTTTTTGCTTAAGAATGTGAATTTTAAATTATGAACTTCATAAGGGAAGAGACTGTGTCTATCCCAGTATCTGGCACTAGGTTAATCAATGAGTAATATGTTTTAATTGAATTAAAGGAAAAGAAGATTACTTTTATCAGTTGTCTGATTGAATTTTAGTCTTTATACTTTCTAAACCATATTTTTATGACAGCTCCATTATTACAACTTACCTTAAAGTTAAATCAAGACATAAATCACATCAAAGACATGTATTGACTACTGTTATGTACCAAGCATTGTACAAAGTGATATAGAGCATATGAAGAAGTGTAAAATACAATCTTTGTCTTCAAGGAATTTACAATATAATGGGAGAAATAGCTTATTTATGAAAGCATAATACCAGTATAAGGTAGAATGCTAAGGGGTGGTGCAGGGAATAAATATTACAGGAGTCCAGAGGTGGTCAAGATCACTGTGGGTCTGAGGACACACATAAGGATTTATTGATGTAATGGGACCCTGAAAGGTAGGTAGGCTTCAGATAGCCGGAAGGGAGGTCTAGGGGGTCTAGGCAGAGGGAACATTAGAGAAAGTGCAGAAGTGGGGATATTTAAAACTGTTTCAGAGAATACTGACTTACCAGCAGCCTGCATGGACCGTTCATAGTGGGAGCAGTGGAAAGGCCATGTTGCACAGGTCCTCTCGTGGGAGCCAAATGAGTTTGGACTTTATACTATATAAATCCAGAGGTATGGAAGTTTTTTAGGCAGGGTACTGATAAGATGAGAGTAACAGTTTTAGTAAGCTATTCAGTAAATTGGGAGAATTATATAAAATGGAGTACAAGGAACAGAACCATCAAAAGTAGATAGAAGTTCATTTCCCTGTTTTTCTCACTTAGTGGATATTATATGTCAAATTAGCATATGACTCTGAAAGGTGGAGAAATGAAAGTAGACTGGTTAGGGACCTTGGGATGCAAGGAACAACACCATGGTGAGTACCCTGGGTTTTCTTTTTGCCTCATAGTTCCCAGACTGGGTACTGGAGAGCCAGCAACCTGGAAATGCTGACAGGCGCAGACAAAAATGCCCCAAGAAAAAAGCCTGCTGTCCTAGCCAAAGGACTGGCAAGAAAAGGGCAAAATAGCAAGATAGCAGTAGCTTCTCTATTCCAGCCAAGCATCAAACACAGCAAATTATGTCATGGCAGAAAAGACTGAGTGGGAAGCCAAGAATTCCACGTCACCAGGTGTAACCAGCTTCCCAGCCCTCCACTGGACTTGTGGTGGAGAAGCCCAAGAGGAGAGCCAGAATTTCACCCCTGCCAGGTGCACTGTCAGTGGAGATGATGTGGGAAGCCTGGATTTCACATATTTAGGGATAGGGGGTTAACAAAGTACCTCTCCCCTTTTTGCTGGAGTGGTGTTAGAGGAAGCTGGTGGAGAGTCAGAGCCTTCACCTCTGGTCAGCGATACTCAGGCCACCCCAGCAGTGTCAGTGGAGGCCATGTAGGGAGCACTAATGAAGTAATGCCCCTTCCTTTCCCAGGCAGGATAGTATCAGCAGATGTTCCCATCCCCTACCCAGAAGGAAACAAGGAGGCAGAGTGGAGAACCTGGGCTTCCACCCCCACTGGGTGGTACCCACATCTCCCTACCAGAGTGGGGTCAAGAGAGACTTACTTCATATGAAAGTAAAGTCTAGTCTGAAGGTTATGGGATCAGTGGAACTTCAAATTTTGTGCATAGCCCTACCCAAAATACATATGATAAAACCACAGTATCACATATGGTAGAACGTTATTAATTTTTAATTTGGTAATTTTTACTTGATATTTTGGTTAGGACCTGGGTTGCTCTGGAAGAGAAAACAAAACTTCACATTGTGTTTTTATGTTTAGAAATCTTCAGAAGCACTTTTTTGAAACTACTGTAGAGGGGAGGCAGCAGGGCGGCTTCTGTTTCATTTTGTGGACTTAGATTTTTGTAGAGTTGAGGAATAAAGGGACTTAGCTCCAGTGGAAAAATAATTTAAAAACCTGTTAAATTCTTTTTCAACTCATTTATGCCTAAGTTGACTAATAAATGCAATTTTCAAACTCTTAATTTTACCTGTACTAGCTTTCCAGAAATCTTACATGCATCTAAATAAGTTAAGATTTTAGATGAGTAATGAGAAGCTTTTGTACTAACACAATTTGATAGCAGGAGAGTTCTGAATGGGAGGAATCTGTAAAGGAAACCATGTCAGTTACAATAGAAAATGGAGCATCATTAAGGACAGGGGTTTTTTGTCTTTTTTTTTTTTTTTTCTAACCACTGCTGTATCCATACCATTACACCAATGCCTGGCACATAGGAGGTGTTGAGTAAATACTTGTTGCATGAATGAATTCATCATTTTTATCTATTAATATATAAATAATTCTCTTTCGATTGTGCTGTGGTAACATAATCCTAATAACTGTGTAAACCTGAAAACAATAAAGTTCCTAACTTTGAAAATTTTTCATAAATAAGATTTTTTACTAAAACTGACCTTTTAATTAGTTTGTTTTGTTGTGAGTTCTATACAAGTATGTTTTTTATTATGCCTAAACATGATCCCTGATATTTTATATTTTCTTTCTCTAGCTATTCTGTTTGAATGTGTACATACAGTTTATTCTATTTATCCTAAATCAGAATTACTTGAGAAGGCTGCCAAGTGCATTGGAAAATTTGTTCTGTCACCTAAAATAAATCTCAAATATTTGGGTAAGATGATTAGATAATTTTTTAAAAGATTTTACTTATTTATTTATTTGAGAGAGCGAGAGAGACGCTCACATGCACCCATGAATGGGGGGGGGGGAGCGGAGAGCAGAGGGAGAGGAAGAGAGAATTTCAAGCAGACTCCCTGCTGAGGGTGGAGCCCAACACAGGGCTCGGCTCGATCTTATGACCCTGAGATCATGACTGAGCCACCCAGGTGCCCCAAGATGATTAGATATTGACAGAAATTACAAAGAGAGCTCTTGAAATTTGCTGGGTATTTGTTTTCAGTCAATTGTATAATGTAATCTTTGTTTCTAGGACTGAAGGCTCTTACCTATGTTATCCAACAGGATCCCACTCTGGCTCTTCAGCACCAGATGACAATAATTGAATGCTTAGACCATCCTGATCCCATTATTAAAAGAGAGGTAAACTAGTATTTTGAAGAGTATATGCAGTGTTAGAACTTTTAAACTTTTTTTTTGGTATTATGGAGAGAATCAAGTAGTGGACGTTGTGTGTGTGTGTGTGTGTACACACGTGTATTTTAACTTTTGAGTATATTTTATTCTTTCTACTAAAATTTCAGGAGCTTTTCTAAAAAGTCCTTGTGTCAGTATCCTCACAAATGGATTTAAATTATGAGTTGGAGGAGTTAGGTTCAGTTACTTGTATGGACTCATTAATATCTTTTTGGTTCAAGAGGAAAACTGAATCCTATTTCCAGATCTTTCTGTTAATACAACTTAAGGTGTAATTTATGACTATTAATATTTTTTCATATTCTCCTTAACATCTGTAAAGTGGGCTAATGTTTTCTGTATTAAATATGTAGGAATATTGAAAGAATTAATAAAGACATCCCCAAAATTATTTGAGTTGCTTGGAAAGAAGGGGGTATAATTTACATAATTTTTTTTCAACTTTTTCCTTTTGTAAAATAGCTTCAGTGTCCACTTGGGTGTCTATATAAGTATTTCTGTTAATTTTCACTGAAGAAATCACTCTGTACCTTCATTGAATGGTATATGGGGGCGCCTGGGTGGCTCAGATGGTTAAACGTCTGCCTTCGGCTCAGGTCGTGATCCCAGGGTCCTGGGATCAAGTCCAGCATCGGGCTCCCTGCTCCTTGGGAGCCTGCTTCTCCCTCTGCCTCTCTCTCTCTCTCTCTCTCTCTGTCTCTCATGAATAAATTAGAAAAAAATAAAATAAAATGGTATATGGGACCTAGTTGAGTAGATATTTTTATTTTTGATTTTAAAAATAATAAAGATAATTTATTGAACATCTAAATTACTTAAAAGCAATGAGTTAAAAATATTTATTGAAAGAAAACTATTTCATTAAGCAATCGTAATTTTAAAAGATAAGATTATACATTTTGAATTTTAAAAGGTGCTATTTTTGAAATAAAAATATTTTTGAGAAATTGTCATCTATATATATATATATGGGGGGTTTTTTGTTTTTGTTTTTTGAGATAGAGAGCAGAGAGTGAGGGGCAGAGGGAGAGGGAGAGAGAGAATCTTAAGCAGGCTCCACACTCAGCACAGAGCCTGAGGCAGGGCTTGATCTCATGACCCTGAGATCGTGACCTGAGCTGAAATCCAGAGTCGGACGCTTAACTGAGCCACCCAGGTGCCCCATATTTTTTCTTTTTGCATTCATATTTTTAATCTTCTGAAAATTGTTACCTGCCTCAAATGAATCTGGGAAGTTTACAGATATATATACTAATTTCTATGTGTAGGCATCATAGAAAAATGATACAGCGCCAAAGGACAATAACTAATAACTGTATGGCTCTTCCACTTTGAACAGATATAGAACATGCATTTTCTTTGTGTGATTGGCTACTAAATTGAACAGAGTTGACTTAGGTACAGTTTTCTTATTGCTATATTTAATTTGGGGGCTCTCATTTAAAAATGAGAGTCAAAGGGAAAATAAAGTTACCATGTCTGATCTGTTTAAAATGATCATGTCTGATCTGTTTGTCTATTACCTATAGTGAGAAAAGTAGTTTGAATTCTTTGGAGAAGATACTGAGTATCAGTGGTGTCCCAAGAAGGCACTGTAGTACTGTCTCTTTGAATGCCACTGTCACATCTATCCTCTATAAGTAGTTGCATACCAAGAACTTTGGTCCCTGGGTATGGAGTGACCTGTTGCTTCGGACTGGGATTCCCTTTTACCTGGTTTTATTACCTTTGTTTCTTACAGGGAGAAAGAAGACAAGAAGGAACTAGTATAAAAGACCTCTAGCCATGCAGTTCCTAATACCATATCCCATACTGTCCTGAAAATGCCAAATTGTATGGTCTTAGAGTAGGAAATAAATTGGGTGTAAATTATCTAAAAATATATGATATATAGTTTAGAGTCTACAGGGAGCATGTCTGAGACAGCTAGATAAATTGAAAACTATTGATAGGGCGACCTGTGTTTTTGTAGATTTTAAATGGAGTTAAAGATAAACTGAAACAGTTATCTTTTGTACTTGAAATCCTGGCTATAAAGATTGCAAAATTATAAAGATCCCTGAAGGTATTTTGAACAAGTTTGACAAGTAGGGTATGTGGACATTCTCTTGCAGCTAATGTTGATCCTAAAATACCAGTAAATGATACCTTCTCAGTACTGCCCTTGGTCTCATATTGATTTCTGGGAGTTATAATATTTTTAGAACCTTAATGTAGGGCCTCAGAAAGCCCAGCCAAATGGGAGCTTACTGTGGTACTGGTCTTCCTTCATCTTACTTGAAGAAGCAAGAAGTATATTCCTGAGGACTGAGAAGGTGGCTATAACATGGTTTTTCCTTGCTGCCTGAGATTCTGAACATAGGCCTTGCTAATAAGGCTTTGAAGCACTTGAGCCACCAACCTTTGTCTGTCCCTTAGAGGCCATTTGCCCTCAGAGCTGACAAACCTGCTCAAGGGCTGTTTTCTATTGTTTGGGTAGTTTGGAAAATATAGTTTGCAAGACTGGATTTTTTTATGTGTATGTATGTGTGTGTATATACGTGCACATACAGGCATAAGTAATATAGGTTGAGGAAGCTGTTCTATTTTTTATAGATTATATGCCTTTTAACTTTTTAGTCTTTACACGGCCTCTTATGTAGAAGTAGTCAGATTATACTTATTAAGATCAGTAGAAGGCTTTTAGACTTTGAAATTGATCATAATTAATTTTTTTGACACTAGATTGGTTCTACCTAAGTTCTATTTCAGTGAAAATGTGTATTTCTTTAGCACCTATTAACCGACTGCCCAGTTGATCTATGCAAAAGCGGGAGAATCAACTGTACTATAAACCTGTATATTGCTGAACTTATTGGAGTTATCATGCATAGTTTTATAATTCTGTTTTTATTTCTCTTTCTTAAATAGACTCTGGAGCTTCTTTACAGAATTACTAATGCACAGAATATAACAGTGATTGTCCAGAAAATGCTTGAATATTTACATCAGAGCAAAGAAGAATATATTATTGTCAATTTGGTTGGCAAAATAGCTGAGCTTGCTGAGAAATATCCTTTGTTTAGACCATGGGTCATGAATACCTTTAGAGAGGGAGAAGCAGACTCACTGCTGAGTAGGGAGCCTGATGCGGGGCTTGATTCCAGGACCCTGGGATCATGACTTGAGCCAAAGGCAGATGCTTAACTGACTGAGCCACTCAGGCATCCCAGTGCCACCTTATCTTTGACTTTACTTCATACTTAGTTTCTTTTCTGGTAAAAGTTCTTGTTTTGCAGGGGGACCTTGGGAGTAGGGATCAGCATGCTAAAATTTATCCTCTGCACTGTTGTGTATACTGGAAATTGTCACAGTAAGGTAGTTGGGAACTCCATTCACATGTCACCTTTCTTCACATTTGCTTTTTAAAAGAGTAACTTTGAAGGTCACAAGGAGATTCCATTCTTTTTAAGGTGTCTGTTATTTATTTATTTATTCATTTTAAAGATTTTATTTATTTATTTGACAGACAGAGAGAGAGCACAAGTAGGCAGAGCGGCAGGCAGAGGGAGAGGGAGAAGCAGGCTCTCCGCCGAGCAGGGAGCCGGACGCAGGGCTCGATCCCAGGACCCCAGGATCATGACCTGAGCTGAAGGCAGCCGCTCAACCGACTGAGCCACCCAGGCACCCCAAGGTGTCTGTTATTTAAATCTAAGAAAAAGTAAATGCACAGTGTTAATCCACTTGTCTTGGAAATTGCTTAAGTATAGTTTTGTCCTAGCCAGTGCTGTAGCTCTAGCCAGCAGAATGATAGAATTTTAGAACTGAAGTGGAACAGATTAGAAAAGAGGTTAAACAGTTTGTTCAGGTAGACCCACCACATTTAGCCTCTTTGAAGTGTAGATCATTTTCCATTATTTGTTAGTCAGCTGGAACATTTCTTTAAATTATTTCACATTTATTGGATGCTTAGTTATATACAAAGAATAGTGCTAGATGAAGCAACATGAACTTAGTTTATTAAGCTTATTAAATAAGCTTTTATTGAGCACCTATTTTACATAAAACTGGAGTATAGAACAATTTATTGGCAGAGGTTAAAAGCAAAAATGACAAAGTAGGATGGGTTGGGGGTTAATCTTTAAAAGGTTGATGCAGAAAAGATAATTTTAAGAAGTGGCATTTGGAAGTGTACTTGTTCTTAACACTGTGGACACATATGCCCCTGATAATGCATGGTTTATTCAGACAATGAATGCTGTGTTTTCAGTGGGAGGAGATGTGATGCATCCTGATATTCCCAATAACTTTATGCGACTGCTTGCGGAAGGTTAGTAAATTACTGCATTCTGTAAAATAGAGATCCAAAAATTAAATGTTTTCTTAGAGAATTTAGTGGAAGTTAAGATGATGTATCAATTTCTTTGTAGGTTTTGATGATGAAACAGAAGACCAGCAATTAAGGCTTTATGCAGTTCAGTCTTACCTCACTTTACTAGATGTGGAAAATGTGTTCTATCCACAGAAATTTCTTCAAGTTATGAGTTGGGTAAGCAAAGTACATTAGATCATAAGTATTTATAACATTTTTTATAAAACCAAATACTAACAATGTATTTCCTTCAGAAGTCATTCAGTTCTACTCTGCTGACTCCAGCTGTCAATTTTCTTTCCCAGTGGCTAGTTTCTATCACTTAACTATCTACTTGTCTGTTCATTCTCCCTGCCATCTCACTTGTCTGGTCTTTTAAGTATAGATAGTTGGTTAAAAAACTGTTTGTGTCTACAATACATTTGTTGTGTTTTCTGTGTGAATGTTAGAATATGTGAACACCATGCATCTGTGTTATATTAGTTTTCTGTTGCTGTATGTTACCACAGACTTAGTGCTTAAAACAACAGAAATTTATTATCTCACAGTTTCTGTGGGTCAGAAGTCGAAACATGGCTTAGCTGGGTGCTCTGCGTAAGGACTCTCAGAGTTGCAGTCAGGGTGTTGGCTGGGGCTGCTGTCTCATCTGAATCTTGACTGGTGAAGGATCCACTTCCAAGCTCATGTGGTTGTTGGAAGAAATCAATTTCTTGCAGGTGTAGGACTGAGGGTTTGAGGTCCAGACTGTTGACTATAGGCTACTCTTAGCTCCTAGAGCTGCCTTCAGTTTCTTGCATGTGGGCCTCCTGACATGCCTCCTTGCTTCATCAAAGCCAGCAAAGGAGATCATCTCTTTGTAAGAAGAAGGTCATATTTTATGTAATATAATCATAGGTAATTGCACGCATACCATCACCTCTGTGTATTCTTTGGTGTGCATATGGGTGAGTTTCTTTAGGAGGAGATCTGGTGAAGTACAACTACTGGATCATAGGATATACATATTTTAATATTTTATACTTTGGCCAAATGTTAGCATGTTAACTTAAACTTTACCCAGACTTTTATTTAAGATTTTTTTCTCAACTACAGGAAAGTTGGAAGACTAGTATAATAAATACCTCTATACTTTTCATCTGTATTCCCAGTTAATATTTTTAACCACCTTTGCTTTACTGTATCTATATCTATATGTAGATCTACCTAAATACAGTTTGTTTTGCTGAGTCATTTACAATAGAGTTGTAGACATTATGACACTCCATAAAAAATTCAACATGAATCTTCTAAGAATGACATTGTCCTGACATAGAACCGTTATTACACTGGTAATAAGAAATGTAACATTAATCCATTAATATCACTTAATATATAGTCCATGTTCACATTTATCCATTTGTCCAGAAAAGGTCTCTTATGGTTGTTTTTCTACTACTCCCAATCCTGGATCCAGTCAGGATTCACAAATTGCATTTGGTTGTCTTTTTAGCCTCTTTTATTTTATACTGACCCTCAGTTTCTTTTTGTTTTCATGACAGTGATTTTTTGGATGAATACTGTTGACTTACAGAATATCCAGCATTCTGAATTTGCCTCATTATTTCTAGTTTGGTTAAACATTTTTATCAAGAATACTACATCAACAATATATACTTTCCACTGTGTCATTAGGACGCATATAGTATCAATTCCTGTAGTCATTGGTGATTTTAAGGTTCATTGTTTGGTTAAGATGATGAATTTTAGATCTCTCCATTGTAAAGGTGCCCTTTCTCTTGGAAATTTATACCTAATCTGTAAGGTGATTCTGTGTGGCTATGCATGAACATCTTTTCCTCAACTGCCTTTCACCAATGGTTTTAGTATTGGTAATCCTTGCCTAAATGGGTTATTGTATTGGCAGCCATTTCTTTTTTTCCTCCATGTCATTCTGTATATTTATAGTGCTTTTACTTCTTTCTATAACATACAGATTCTGTACAAGTTTTGTTAGATTTATGCTTAAGCATTTCATTTTCTTTAGAGCAGTAGTAAATAAGTTGTATTTTTAATTTTGGTTCCCACATGTTTGTTGCTAGTTTATTTAAGTACAATAGATTTTTGTATTTTGATCTTGTCTTTGTAATCTTGCTTTGCAATCTTTGCAGCCTTGCTGAACTCACTAATCTAGGATTTTCTTTTTTTTGTAGATTTCTTGAGACCTTGTTAAAAATTTTTACATCTCTGTTCATGAGATTTTTTTCTACTCTGTTGGTTTGGTTTTGGTCTGAAGTCAGGAATGTTCTTTCCTCCTCCATGTTCTGGAAAAATTGTATAGAAGAGTGTTGTTTAATTTTTAAGTGTTTGGAAAATTTCCTGTTACTGATTTCTAGTTTGATGCCATTGTTGTCAGAGAAAATACTCAGGAATTCAGTTCTGTTAAGTTTGCTGAGGTTTGTTTTATGGCCCAAGTAATGTCTTACTGTATGTTCTGTGGGTGCTTGAAAAGAATGGGTATTCTGCTGTTGTTGGATGGTGTGTTCAATAAATGTTGATTAGATTCTCTTGGTGATGGTATTGTGACACAAGTGTTGAGATCTCTAACTATGTGGCCTCCACTGACACTGTGAAGGGATCATCTCGCTATGGCTGAGCAGTGGTGAAAGTCCTGACTCTCCACTAGGCTTCTCTTGACACCACCCTAGTGGAGGAGTCCGTCTTTATACCTGGGTAGAGGTGAAGTGGCTTCATATGTGGTCTTCATGGACACTGTGGAGGAGTGGGCCTTTCTACAGCTTGGTGGGGATGAAAGTCCTGGCTCCCCACCTGGTCTTCTCTGTCACCACCCTTGTGAGGGAAAGGGGGTGCCTCTTACAGCTTTGTAGGGGTGGAAGTCTTGGCTCTCTGCTCTGCCTTTGCTGACTGGGTGGGTCTATGGTTTTTTTTCTGTGTAGTGCTTGACTGGAGTAGAAGGGTTATTGTCTGAAAGTTTTCTGGGCTCTTGGCTCTTTGGCTAGAGGACAGGCTTTTGTTGAGGCCAGTTTATCTGCGCCCATTGGTGTTTCCAGGTTGCTGGCTTACTAGAACCCAGTCTGGGGTTTATGAGGTATCAGATAACCCACTGTACTGTCCCAGCATCCTTAGCAGTCAGCCTTCCTTTCTCCACCTATCGGTGTCTTTTTTTTTTTTTTTAGATTTTATTTATTTTTTTGACAGAGAGAGACACAGCGAGAGAAGGAACACATGCAGGGGGAGTGGGAGAGGGAGAACAGGCTTCCCATGGAGCAGGGAGCCCAGTGCGGGGCTGGATCCCAGGACCTTGGACCATGACCCGAGCCGAAGGCAGATGCTTAACAACTGAGCCACCCATGTGCCCTGTTGGTGTCTTTTTATGTATGCTTTATATATAACATCAAGGGTTTTTAGGTGTACTTACTGGGAAGAATAGGGGAAAATGCATCTACTCCATCCTCCCATTAATTTTTGAACTGGGATTTAGATTACTGGCTTTTCTAGAGCTATCTTCCATCTTACTAAACCACACAAAAAATTATCTTGCTACTTTAAAGATTGAACTTATTTAGTTCTATTTATTTTTCCTCCTGTTCTTGTTACTAGCTATAAATTTTTCCTTCCCTGTCACCACACCTCCCCGTTTTTTGTTTTTTGTTTTCCTGCTGATGCCAGTGTTACAGTAAAGACATGAAAATACTCCATAAGTAGCACTTAGGAAAAAAATCTCACACTCTATGAATTATCAGTTTATTAATGATTCTTAGGCCAGTAGGATTATTTATCACCTAAATAAGTTAGATGTAAGAAAAAAGATATGTAACATAGATCAGTGTTCCTCAGAGTTTCTTCTGTGGATCATCTATATCAGAATCAGCTGATGCTGATTCAAAATGTGTATTGTAGATCCCCACCACAGACATACTAACTCAGAATATCTGGAGGTAGAACCTAGAAATCTGTATTTTTATGAAATACCTCAGGTGACTCTCATGCATATTAGCATGTGAGGACCCCTGGTTTAAGTGCTTATTGCAAAATAAGTAACAGAATGTGGACATGCGTGTAAAAAGCAATAACCAAACCTGAAAATCAGAAGAAAGTGAACTTGTAAAGGTATGCTGCTTTACCTATTGTTAATGATAAAGATGTGGAAACCTTTTTGTATTGACTTCCAATTCTTACATAATTTTGAACCTAAAATGTGTAATTTTATCCTATGTAATAATTCTCCACGAGAATATGTTTAATCTAGAGTAAATTGACTCCAGCAGTAGCTACTTGGTTTGGATTTCTGAGTACAATTTGCTGTGTAACGTGGTATTTCTGTATAAACATCTCTTTGTTTTACTCATAGGTGTTAGGGGAGTATTACTACCTCTTAGATAAGGACACACCAGAGGAAGTTCTAACCAAGCTCTACAAGTTACTTATGAATGCCTCGGTTTCTTCAGAAACAAAAGCCTGGTTAATTGCGGCTGTTACCAAGTTGACATCCCAAGCACACTCTTCTAACATAGTTGAGAGATTAATCCAGGAATTCACCATATCTTTGGATACTTGTATGAGACAGCATGCATTTGAATTAAAACACTTACGTGAGAATGTGGAACTTATGAAGAGCTTGCTTCCAGTTGATAAGAGCTGTGAAGACATGGTGGTAAGGCATCTGTATTTTAGCTTTGTAAAAATCGCATTGTCTGTAAACAGAATAATTCTTGCATTTGTGATGTATCTGGAGTATATCAAAATACAATTTCCGTAACACTGAAAATGAAGGTTGGAGTTTTTCTCACATTAGTATGAGAGAGAACTTGAGAGCTTCAGGTCAGTAGTGATCCCGAATAGTTGGGACTAGAGGAGTATATCTTCTGGAGAACTGCAATGAAGGCATTTATATCCAGTGACAATTGCTTTTAACATACGGTAATTCAAGAATTAAACGTTTTTAGTCTCCTTTGAATTTTTCTAATATGTCGTTTAATTATTACTGTGTTTTCTTTGAGAATGTAAAAAATAGTTCTCTGTTGCATTTTGTCCTCCTAGTATCTAAGTTCTTTCCCACTTTGGAACCTGATCACCCACCTTTTCTTCTCCCACCTCACTTTCAGCTGCCACCCTTTTTAACCTAATGGGTTAAATAGCTTCATTTCATAAGAATCTTACTGAAACTAAACCTTTCCAGATTCAGAGTGTGACTTGCCGCTTAACTGTTAGAGATCCACCTGCCCTTCTCATTATCTGAGCTGTTACCGTACACTTGGCTAAAGCAGGAGAAGCAAACCTGTGGCTTCTGAAGCCACTGCTGCCGTATCCTTTTGTGTAGATCTCACTCTTTGCTCACTTTTTCTTTTCTCCTTTTCCCCTTACTCTTTCTTCATCTCTTATTTCTTTTCACTTAATCATTCTCTCGTACCTTTCTATTCCTGCTGAAATTAAATAATTTTCCATAGATTTGTGAAAAAGCATTTTCAGGTAGAAGAGAACAGGATGGTTAAATCAAAGGCACTGTGGGAGTCGGAATAATGGCCTCCCCACGGTGTGCACACTTTTGTCCCTGGAACCTTACATGGTCACAAGGACTTTGTAAATGTGATTAAGTTAAGGATTTTGTGATGAGATTATCTTGGGTTGTCCAGAAAGCATGATCACAAGAGTTCTTATAAAAGTGAGGAAAGAGTCAGAGAAGAGAAAGCCAACTAACAATAGAAGCAGAGATCGGAGTGATGTGGCTACAAGCCAAGGAATGGTGGCGCCTTCAGAAACTGAAAGATAAGGAACTTACTCTCCCTTCGAGTCTCCAGAAGGAACTAGCCTTGCCAGCACCTTATTTTTAGCCCCCAGCAGCAAACTAATGCAGACCCTGTAGCTCCTGGTGTAGGTGTCTCTTCTCTAGTAGGTTACAGTTCTCCCATCCAAGTACTAACCAGGCCGGACCCTGCTTAGCTTCCGAGATCAGACGAGATTGGGCGTGTTCAGGGTGGTATGGCTGTAGACTAGGTTACAATTCTCATGAGGGTGGGAACTGTCTTTGTCTCAGTCATAGCACCTAACATATGATGCTCTAACATATTGGATGCTCAGTTTATTCTGCAATGCAGTGAAATTGATCACAACTACAGATGACTTACATTGTTACATTCTTAGCTAAATGTGAATATAGATGTTTTAGAAAGGTAGAGAGTTTGGTAGCACTTGGTAGCACTTTTGAATTGAAGTTCAGTTTTACACTTAAAAATTATTTTTGGGACATATGGATTAAAATTAGTTTTGTGAGTATACAGTTTACTGTTTAGGGTAAATTTTTTTAATTTCTAATTTTTGCTTCACTTTAAACAGGTAGATGCTTCTTTATCTTTTCTGGATGGTTTTGTGGCCGAAGAACTTAGTCAGGGGGCAGCACCTTACAAACCTCACCACCAACGGCAGGAGGAAAAGCTTTCTCAGGAAAAAGGTAATTTTTCATGGGTCTGTAACAAGCTAAATTGTAGGGACATAATTTTTTTTATGCAATTGATATTATAGTCATGTAGTATAAATAACTGAGGATGTTTACTTTTATCACCTCTCCTTAAATCTGCTTGTGACTTGTTTACCCTGGTTAGGTCTTTGGATACCCAGAAAAAAGAAGTTAGCCCAGAGATATTCCCAAAGTCATAGGCTCCATATACATAAGTGCCTAAGATAGCCATTCTGGAATTTTGAAAGAACTCGAAGGTGGAATTATCATGTTGGGTCACTGTGCTAGACAGAGGGCTGATAGTTATTCACATGAGCGTATCTGTAGAAAAGTTTGAAAAAAATATCTGGTCACCATGGACTTGTAAGTTTCATCTTCATTCTGAGCAGTCTTATATAAACTGTTAGAATGCTTCCTCCAACAAAATATCTGATCAGTGAAGTTAGAAACAGCTAAGAAAAGAAAGAATAACTTTACATTTCAGAAATGTAGCCTGTCAGGGAAAGATGCCTGTCATGATTTTGGTAAAGTGGAAATCACTGAGATGTTTGGATGACGGATGGGAAGTACGCATATGAATTAAGAGAGACCACTGAATATTATCTTTGTAGGAGTTCAGAATGGTAATACTGAGAAGTTCAATGCTGAAAGCTCTTTTTCTCCCCATTTATCATCTAATGATTTTGTTGAGTACTCTCCAGGCTCTGTGGTAAGCATATGAGTACAATTAACTGGTTGATCTTAAAATGACACCGGAAAAGTATAAGTTGCAATTCAGCCATTTACTTCCTTCTCCTGACTCTTTCCGCATACTGTTATTTTCCTCCTGCTCCCTACACACACATGAACTCTTACATGTCTAGTTAACTTTTAAAAAAATCTTTGGCCCTTCCAGTCATTCACCTCTGTAAAGATCTTGGGAAATTTTCACTGAAGAATGAAAATAATGTGGTTTGAAGTTCATTCTCAGCCTCGAGCCTTTCCAGGCCTTCCTTAGATGACAGTGCTTAATTCTGTTGTCTCAGGTTTGGAATTTTCTCTGTCTCCAGATGCTGTCCCCTTCTATGTCTAGTTTTTTTTTTCTCTCCACTCTTAAACTCTGCCTCTGATTTTGAATTCTTTCTGCTCTTTGCTTAAACTCTATCTTTACTTGATCTTTGGCTTAAACTTTTTTTACTTGTGCATAGGAAACATTTCTTGAGCTCTTCACTGCTACTTTGTTAACACAGAGGCTTGATAACTGTCACAGATGCTATTAAAAAGAGGTCAAAATGGGACAGAAAGTTAAACTCATGATTGAAAAGTTAAAATGGGAGGATTTTCTAAGTTGAAAAGGACGTTGGAAGGATTTAGAGAAGTGATTTCTTTTTTTTTTTTATTATGTTCAATTAGCCAACATGTAGTACATCATTAGTATTTGATGTAGTGTTCAACGATTCATTAGTTGCATATAACACCCAGTGCTCATCACCACACGTGCCCTCCTTAATAACCATCACCCCCCCCTTCTATAACCCTCAGTTTGGTTCCTGGAGTCCACATCTCTCATGGTTTGTCTCCCTCTCTGATTTCTTCCCATTCAGTTTTCCCTCCCTTCCCCTGTGGTCCTCCGCACTATTCCTTATGTTCCACATATGAGTGAAATCATATGATAATTGTTTTTAGAGAAGTGATTTCCAAACATGATTATGAATCAGAATCACAGAAGTTTTAAAAAATGATACAGGTTTTTGAGCCCTACTCCGGTATCTTTTGTTTCTGAATCTCTGAAAGCTTGGCCATATGTGGGAGAGTCTACAAAGTCATCTTGATCCTGGTTATCAGATCAGCATTTGGAAACTGCTGATTTAGCCTGAACCCTTCACTTTACAGACAGAGAAGTTAAGGTCTAGTTCATGTACCCAGTTAATGTCTGATGTATATCAAGAACTCAGTTCTCCTGGTTATTAAGTAGCCTATTATTTTTTTTCTACTGCATATTGATTTCTCATCTATATCATTCTTTTAGATATAGAATTTATTTATTCTATCCTAAACTAATTTATTTAGTTCTCTTTGGATTAGGTGCTGTTTCCTTTGGAGGAGACAGTATAATAGAATACTTGAGAGTGAAGCTCTAGAACCAGGGTATCTGATTTCTTATCTGGCTCTATCATTTTTCCTATTTTTGTAATCTTTGGTAAGTTCGTGGTAAACTGCCACAGTTCCTCTTTTGTAAAATGAAGATAATAATTAGAGAAGTTCACATTTATATTTTATAAGGCACTTTTTATGATTTAAGAAGGTCCTTTGTATTATAATCCAAATAGTACAAAAAGATAAAAATATGCCAGTTAGGATTAGGTATAGCTACATAACATACTAGAAAACAAATAAATAAAATGTGTCCTTATACAAGGCAGAAAATTACTGCTCTTTCCCATTAAAGAAATTCCGGAAATAGGCAACCTAGGATTGATGATGGCTTCATGAATATAAAGGAGGAAGGGAGAGAAGAAAGATTTTTTTTCTTCCAGGGAGATTCCTCCCAGAAATTGTGCACAGAATGTGTACATAATTTCATTGGCCAAGCACATGGCAGAGGAGTCTGGAAATGTCATTTCTTTTCTGGGTGGTCATGTACCTAGCTAAGAAGCAAGAGTTCTATTACTTAAAAGAGGAGAATGGATATTGGCATTGCTCTACCACCATAACAATATGAATTTTTATGGCTCTTGATTGAATTCATTTGGGTATACAGGTTCAAAGGAATCTGAACCTGAGTAAACCTTATTCTTTGCAGTAAGGGACTTTTCACATTGAGGGCTCCATTAGTCCATTCAGTATAGGAATGTGCCTAAGAGCATTTTATTAAGCAAAAACACAGTTATCTCTTCATTCATAGCTCATTAAACATTTTTGTCTGGGAGCAGCAAGTTTTTAGTGACCTGGTTTATCAGTTATCTTTCCTAATTGGTGTTTAGCTTCTAAGGGAGGTGAAAAGATAAAAGTGAAGTATCATTTGTCTTTGATCAACTAATGGCTTGTAGACAGTAGTTGACATTCAATAAATCATAGCTACTTTATTATTATTACTGTAATTATTCGATTAGATCATCTCCAGAGTCCCTTCCAGCTTAAAAATTGTCATTGGAGGCGTGTCTGGCCAGCTCAGTTGGTGGAGCGTGTGACTCTTCATCTCGGGGTTGTAGGTTTGAGCCCCACGTTGGGTGTAGAGGTTACTTACAAAAATAAAATAAAAAATTAAAAATTGTCATTGGATTCTAACCTTTAGTTATTTTATTTCAGTAGTGAATGGTTACCTTTGATAATTCCTGCTTTTCCTCCCTAACTTTTGCTTTGATTTTAAATATGAACTTCTGTTATTTTGAAATTCTAGTTCTCAATTTTGAACCATATGGACTCTCCTTTTCTTCATCTGGCTTCACTGGACGACAGTCTCCTGCTGGCATTTCTCTTGGTTCAGATATATCTGGGAATAGTGCAGAGACTGGGCTGAAAGAGTAAGTTCCTTTCTTATTAAAATCCAGAACATAGGAGTATTTAAATGTCTTTAAATGTAGTAGCATCCCTGAAAGCTGAATTCTGCATTGTCTGTTTATTGCTTTTAAGGTGTTGATGTTGTACAAGAGAACTAGTAAGAGAGCTTGCTTACTTCCAAGACAGCATAATGTATATAGACTTTACACATAATAATGAAGTGTGTGTTATTACTGTGTATTGCGTGTATGTATGTGTATGTATTATGTGTGTTATACACACATTTATACATACATTTGTACATATATATACACACATATATACACATACATTTTTTAAAGAAGTATGTGAGAATTTTTATATACAGGTGAATATTCAGCGTATCATTCTACATTCCTCATAATCTTCTACAACCATTTCATTGGAAGATTGACAGTACAGAGATGAACATAAAATAAGATGACTGACTTCATATAAGTAAGCTGTATACTTTGCTCAAAATGCTTCCAGAGCTTCTTTCTTGCCATGGTAAAAATTGGTGATACATGTGGAGCGAAATCTTCAATCTTTTTAGGTAGATTTTTATTTTGGAAATATAAGTTAATTTTAGAAACATGATTAAGTTAAAAAAGTGAGATAATATATATAAAGGGCCTCATAAAATCCAGTGCATAGTAAATGATTGATATGTGGTAGCTGCTACTATTAATACTAATTGTCATTGCCATCATTATCAATATCCAAAAGCTGAGTTAACCAAATTAAATTAGTGATCACTCTAGATAATTTTGGTTATTGATGTGACATGAAGTAATGAAAATGGCTTCCTTGTTTGTGAAGGAGCTTCTAAAAGAGTTAAAAAAACTTTTTTAAAAATTTTATTTTAATTCCAGTAGAGTTAACATGCAGTTGTTACATTAGTTTTTGGTGTACAATATAGTGATTCAGCAGCTCCATATATTATTCAGTGCTTATTAAAAAATGTTTTGAGTAGTGGCAGCTTTGTTGGAATAAATGTAATAAAATCTCAAAGGTGGCAACTTTGAAAGATGACAGTTGAATTTTGAGTCCTTATATGTTCATTATGGAGTCAGTCACTTTATTTTATGTTCATCTTTGCATTTGTCAGTCTTCCAACACGATGGTTGGAAGAAGTATTTACCAGAAGACTGACACATAGATTATAAGGAATATAGGATAATATACTGAACGAAATTCTCTTTCTTAGCCTTTTTTCCTGCTCTGTTGACACCCTTTTCTTTCCCAGACATTTAATTTTGGTATTCCAAGTATGGGGAGCAGATATGATTTGTGAGCATTTGAATGTAGAGGGGATAGCAGTTAAGTGCCCCAAACAGAACAGCGGGACAAGGGAAGGAGAGGACAGGAAAGGAACCCTCTAAACCCAGGGAGGAAACTTAGTCTCTTCTACCTGCACAACAGGTGACAGCATCTGTTTGTTTAGTACTGAACTGAGATCTGGGGGACTTGACGATCCTTGTAAATCCTATACATATACATGTACTACTCTGAGAGAAATGACATTTGGCAGAGCTGCTTAGGAATAGTACATATGCTGTGTTACCATGAAATGCAGCATGAGGGATGAATATAAAATTTCTTTCCAAAGAGGACCACAGCTTACACATGATTTCAGAATTGGGAACCTATGTAGTAATTGACAAGGCAAATCAGTTTTAGAGAGCGGACAGCCACTCTTCTGCAATCTCTAGCAAGTTGAGAATAAAGTAGTAGCAAGCCCAATTTAGAATTTCTTACTTAGGCCCTATTTGGGGGCTATCTCAAAAGGGAATTCCTAGAGCTGAATTAAAGTGAGTTACAGAATTTACATCTGTGTTTGAATGATCTGATTAAAAACAATACAAAGGTATGCCATGTAAAATCACGAATTATATTATTGTCAAAACCCAGGCAAAGATTCATGTTTAAAAAATTTCTTTTACAGTATGTTTCATATCATAAAGAGGCATATTCTGTGTTCTTATTTTTCCTGCTTTTTAAAAAAAAATATGTATTTAACAGAGAGAGATAGCAAGAGCAGTAACACAAGCAGGGGGAGCGGGAGAGGGAGAAGCAGGCTTCCTGCCAAGCAGGGAGCCCGATGTGGGGCTCGATCCCAGGACCCTGGGATCATGACCTGAGTCGAAGGCAGATGCTTAACAACTGAGCCACCCAGGCACCCCTAGGTTTCCTGCTTTTTAGGCTGCTGATATGTAATCCATGACAGAGAGAATTTATGTTAATAGTAGGCATGTATGTAGATGAAATATGCCAGAAAAATCTTTAAAATAGCTTGAAGCTCCTTTTAGGCATATTTTTCCTCTCCTTTCCTATTTTGCCTGTTGTGGTGGTTTGGATTCCCTGGGAAGTGCATTCCATGATGGATTTAGCATGCAGAATATAAAGGAGTGCCCTTGTGACTACCACCTGTTTTAAGGAAGGAGAAGGAAGCAGATTTGGGCAGAGAAAGAAGTTAAGATGCAATGCAGTCTAACAGCAGTCTCTGCTGACCCCATGGGGAGCTCGGAAGTTAGAGTGGCCCTTCAGAGTTGTCCTGAGTTGGGTCCACATGGGTGGCCAGGACTCTATATTTCTGTTCATCAGTCACTGGGTGTGGGCTGCCCAGGGAGGGGTATGGTCTCAGGCGATGTGTCCCTCTGCAGCTGAGGCAATCCCAGGGAGGGCGTAATACGAAAGCTGTATTTATATATGTATGTATGTATTTATTTGAGAGAAAGAGAGGAGTGAGAGAATGTGAGTAGAGGGTCAGGGGCAGAGGCAGAGGGAAAGAATCCCAAGCAAGCTCCATGCCCAGTGCAGAGCCTGATGCAGGGCTGGATCTCACAACCCTGAGACCATGACCTGAGCCGAAATCAAGAGTCAGACGCCTGACTGACTGAGCCGCCCAGGCATCCCTGAAAGCTGTTTTTAAGAGGCCATGGCAATGATGTGTTTTAAAAAATGCCTCAAGAAAGTAACTCTTAAGTGGTTATTTAAGTTGACTTGATTTCATTCTTAATCTCTTTAGGACAAATAGCTTGAAGCTGGAAGGTATAAAGAAACTGTGGGGGAAAGAGGGTTATCTTCCCAAGAAGGAAGGCAAAACTGGGGATGAAACTGAAGCTCCACCTGTTCCTCAGGAGAATATAATAATGGAGACTGTAGACCAAACTTTAATAAAAAAAGACCAGTGTCAAGTCCTTACCCAGTCTAAAGAGGAGAAAGAAAAGCAGCTGCTGGCATCATCATTATTTGTTGGGCTAGGATCAGAAAGTACAGTCAATTTGGTAAGTAGTCCATTATATTCCTCTGGGAATCTGTGTCCCTGTCTTGTACAAAAAAACTGGCTCTTCGAAGGTTCTTGGCTTCCATACACGTGGTGGAAAATGGCTTCCCCATCTCCAGAGCCACCAATGACATACTTTTTTATTCCTGAAAGAGAAATTCTAATTGGCTTAGCTTGAGTCAGGTTTTTTTTGTAGTCCAGTCAGCTGGGGCAAGGGTCAGGGTCCAAATAAAGTTACAAATATGACCACAGGTATTACTCCCATGGGTGGATAGGACAGTTCTCAGTGGGAAGGGGGCTTGATGGAAGTATTGGTGATAACAATAGTTCAACGATATTGATATGTCTATGGAAAAAGTACTTCTCAAAATGGTATTTTTAATAGTAAAGAATAGGAATCAGTTTAGATGTCTAATAGTAGGAGAATGGGTCCATAAATTATATTAGCTCAGAATATTACTCAGGCATTAAAGATGATAAATACTGCATTGTAAAATAAAAAAAATACATGTAATATTAAGCAAAAAGGCAGAATATAAAGTTTTATTTGTACTCTTTATAACTGTTAAGAAGATAAAAGTGTATCGAGACTGAAAGGAATTACACAAAATGAAAATTATACTCAGGCATTATGATTATGATGATTTTCAAAACTTTTTATGTTGATATATTATTATCATAGTAAAAGAATGAAAAATTGGAGCGAAGGGCAGGTGCTATTTTGAGCATCTGAGAATTCCGTGTAATTTTCCATTTGGAGGACTGATGGACGTTCCTGGTACAGAATTGTGATTAGAGCTACATTTTTTTCAGTTTTACATCATTCCAGTTCTTTCATCTTCCTTTTCCCTTGGTGGGTTTTCCCTCCATCCCTATACTCTGCCTTTTTCTTTCTCTTTTCTAGACCCCATTTCTATCAGACTTGATATTCCCTCCTAAAGAAAAAAAATTTCAATCTAGATGTATTAATAAGTAATGTATCTTAATGCTGTCTCAGCATTTGCATTTCAGCAGCAAAGTGACTTATCTTGGGGCTTTAAGGTGTTCCAGCTGGCTGTGGTAAGGGTACCTGTGAATGCCCTGGCACCGTTGGGCAAGTTCTCAGTGGTCAGAGTGCACCCAGGCTTGTGGAGCCCTGATTTGTGAATCCCATGGCTGGTGTTGAAGGATTCCTGTCCTCTCAACAAAGTGCAAAGCTTTCAGTTAAACAGTCTTTCTCAAGAGAACATTGGGTGTGACAAATTAATTATCAGGTGTTTTGTTTTTTTTGTTTTTTCTTTTTTTTGTGTTGGGCTTGGTATCAGAAGTATAATTCCATTTAAGGTATACTAGATCCTTTTTGGGTTAATTTTTTTACATAATTCATTCTAAGGATCAAGGCTTTTTCCCCCCTTATCTTTGCCTTCTACTTTATCTTCATTTTTATTTTTTTAAGTTTTTATTTAAATTCTAATAAGTTAACCTACAGTGTAATATTAATATGTTTCAGGTGTAGAATTTACTGATTTAATACTTAATACAACACCTGGTGCTCATCACTACAAGTGCCCTCCTTAATCCCCATTATCTATTTAACCCATCCCCTCATGCCCCTCCCCTCTGGTAACCCTCAGTTTGTTCCCTATAGTTAAGAGTCTGTTTCTTGGTTTTCCTTTCTCTTTTACCTTCATTTTTAAAAGTTATTTTCTCTGAAGTCTAGGTTGACTGTTTCTTTTCTTTAAATATTTGAACAAAGATGTCACTCTAGTGTCTTATGGCTTGTGTAGCTTCTGATTAACAGGAGATTAGACAGTACAGAAGAAAAAAATTATTAAACTTGAAGACAAAGTATCAAAAGTACCCAAAATGAAACACAGAAAAGAGAAAATGAAAACACTCAGAGTATCAGTGACCTGAGGAGCAATACTGAACAGCCTAATAATATATGTCTAATTCAAGTCCCACAGCTACTTGAAAATGGCAGTCCTTCACCCACCCACTCGTTTTCATTTTTGTGTTAATAAAATTTTAGTTCTTCTTTGATGACTTCTGAATCGAAAGATAGGAGACAGACTCATCTGCTGAGAGTTGGAAGAGGTATTGGGACTTGAGGGAATGAGAGGGTATGGAAGAAGAACTAGAATTTGGGTTAACCAGAATCCTGTGAATGGCAGCCACACCGCCCCAAGGACGATGGAGACGTGGATTTAGAGTAGTGCCATTCTGCACTGATTCTAGATAGGACTTTGGAGGGTAAGGGGGAACTGTGAGCCACCACCACATGCTTATGTAGATTTGCAGACCATTCCCCAGGAGTGTTGCTTCAAAGATGGCAAATTTGCCATTCCCATTTCCTGAGTCTATAGGAAACATCACTAGTCACTGATAGAGTTCTTGCCTGCTCTGTGTGTCAGCCACTGCCAGTTGGTTCTTGAAGTAAAATCAGTTTTTCTTACCTGTTTATGGATTTGTGGGCCATGAAATCATGGTTATTATAGACTACCAAACCAGAGTTTGAGCCATCCCTGTGTTTGAAGGTGTCTTCTCTTCTATAGGACAACTCTGGAAACTCAAAAAATGGCTAGGTTTCTCACTGTTTTTATTTTATCTTATTTTATTTTGTATTTTTTAAATTTTACTGCTTTTTATTTTTTTAAAAGATTTTATTTATTTATTTGACAGGGAGAGAGTACAAGCAGGGAAAGTGGCAGGTAAGGGAGTGGGAGAGACAGGCTCCCCACTGAGCAGGGAGCCTGATGGGCTTGATCCCAGGAATCTAGAATCATGACCTGAGCTGAAGGATTAATCAACTGAGACACCCAGGCGCCCTATTTTTATTTTTTTAGAGAGAGTGCACACAAGCAGTGGGGGAGGGATAGTGAGAGGGGTAGAGAATCTCAAGCAGACTCTGTGCTCAGCACAGAGCTGATGTGGGGCTCAGTTCCTTGACCCCAAGATTATAACCTGAGCCAAAATCAAGAGTCAGACGCCCAACCAACTGAGCCACCCAGGTGCCCCTCACTCTTTTTAATTTGTGCAATTCTGTACTCTAGCATTCTGAAATTGAATTAAGTTTTTGGAATTGTTCACAAATGACTTTTTGACTTTCTTTTTTTTTTGATTTTATGTGTTTTTAATGAGAAGATTTAGCTAACAGTTCAAAATGAGGTAGCTGTCAGAATTTTAGGGCTTAACATTTTATTCATCTCTGATTTTTTTGTTAATCTATGCTTTATAGATAGACTTTAACAAGTTAGTAAAATGCTTATTTGAAATTATAGAAAAAGGTTTAAAACTCATGACTGGTAGAATTATCATTACGTTTTATTTTTGCAGCTAGGAAAGGCAGATACCGTATCTCACAAATTCAGAAGGAAATCAAAAATCAAGGAAACCAAAAGTGGAGAAACAACCAGTGCTCATAATAGGACCTGTTCTTACTTTAGTTCTTCGTCAAATGCAACTTATGAAGATGATTATTATTTGGATACTTTGCAGGATAGAGGAGACAAAGAATTAAATAAACTTTCTCTCAACTCTGGACTTTTGGATTCTGAGTCACTCACAGAGCTGCCCTCAGTTGAGAAACTCTCCAATTGCAAGCTGTCTTCATCACCTTCTTTGTTTACTGATAACAGCATGGAAGGTTTTCAGCCTTCTCAGTCCACTGCACCCTCAGTTGCTAATGAAACCTCTTTAGCTTCTTCTTTGCTGGAAGAAACTTCTGAACACATGCATTCAGATCTTGTGGAGGTTTGTCATAATGAAACCATATCATTGTCTTCTTACAAAATTTGGAAAGATGATTGTTTATTCATGGTCTGGTCAGTTTCTAATAAGAGTGGTTTGGAATTGGAAAGTGCTGACTTAGAAATTGCTCCAGCAGAAAATTTCAAGGTAAGACAATAAATGGTTCATTATTTCTGTCTTAAATAGACATTGCTTACTTAGTGTTTCTGTTGTTCCATCTTCTGATGGTTTATAAATTTCTTCCACATCCTTTTTTCTTTAGTAAAAAAAACCCCAAAGATGTGACAGTTTTTTTTTTATTATTATTTTGAGTAGGGATGAATTATTCAAAAGAGACAAGGAAACAAAGATTTTCCAACTGTATTGAGGAAGGCCATAAATATAAAGCAAGTATTGATAGAGCATAGTAGTTAAAAAGGTAGGCTCTTGACTCAGAATGCTTGGCTTTGAATCTTGCTTCTGCTACTTATTAGCTGTGTTCCATGGTCAGGTTATGTAACTTTGAGTTCCCTCACATTTAAAATGAAGATATTAATAGCATCTGCCTGTTACTGTGAGGAGAAAATGAGTTAATATCTGTAAAATGCTTACAGCAGTACCTGGCACATGGTAAGTGTTATCATGTTTTATTTTCAGTGTGTATTTTATGGTTTTTTGCACTCTTTAAGTGTCTCATTCATTCTTGTTATAAACACTGAGACAAAGTTCTCAGTTTAACAAAGCAGAACGTCAAGGAGTAAGAATATTGAAGGATAAATGTATATACTGTCTGCTGCCTTTTTCTTTCATTGATTTATTATTCTATATGGAGTGCTTGGGCATCAGTTGTATTTCTTCCCTAGCTCTAAGAGATTGCCATTGTGATTTCTGGAAATATGTTTAATTACATTCTTGTATGGATGTCCTTGGTGGAGTTATAATGAGATTTGACCAGTAGATCAGTTATTCCACAAGGCTGACCCAATTTCTTCTGTGGGCGAAAACGTGTTGAATGGAATATTGCCAGAACCACTGACCAGGGCAGAAGTTCCTGACTCTAGATGGGCATTAAGATCACCAGTGGAACTTAAAAAAAAATAGAGTCTGGTCTCAAAATGGAGGTAAAACTGCCGCCCGGTCGCCCCCAGCCCAGCTCCGGCCGTTGTTGCTGGCACCAGGAGGAGGGGGCGATGATGCAAAGGAACCAGAGCAGTTGAGAAAACCATTTATTGGTGGTTTGAGCTTTGAAACTACAGATGACAGTTGAAGAGAACATTTTGAAAAATGGGGTACACTTACAGATTGTGTGATGATGAGAGACCCCCCCCAAACAAAACGTTCCAGGGGTTTTGGTTTTGTGACTTACTCTTGTGTTGAAGAGGTGGATGCAGCAATGTGCACTCGACCACACAGGATTGATGGGCGTGTAGTGGAACCAAAGAGAGCCGTTTCTAGAGAGGATTCTGTAAAGCCTGGTGTGCATCTCATAGTGAAGAACATTTTTGTTGGTATTAAAGAAGATACAGAAGAATATAATTTGAGAGACTACTTTGCAAACTATGGCAACATTGAAACCATAGAAGTTATGGAAGACAGGCAGAGTGGAAAAAAGAGAGGATTTGCTTTTGTAACTTTTGATGATCGTGATACGGTTGATAAAATTGTTCAGAAATACCACACTATTAATGGGCATAATTGTGAAGTGAAAAAGGCCTTTCTACACAAGAAGTGTAGTCAGCTCAATCACAAAGAGGTCATGGAGGGTGGATCTGGCAACTTCATGGGTCGTGGAGGAAACTTTGGAGGTGGTGGTAACTTTGGCCATGGTGGAAACTTTGGTGGAAGAGGCGGCTATGGTGGTGGAGGTGGTGGCAGCAGAGGTAGTTCATGGAGGAGGTCAGGGTGGATATAATGGATTTGGAGGTGATGGTGGCAACTACGGTGGTGGTCCTGGTTATAGCAGTAGAGGAGGCAATGGTGGTGGTGGACCAGGATATGGACACCAAGGAGGCGGATATGGCGGTGGTGGTGGAGGATATGATGGTTACAACGAAGGAGGAAATTTTGGAGGTGGTAACTGGTGGTGGTGGGAACTATAATGATTTTGGAAATTATAGTGGACAACAATCAAATTAGGGACCCACGAAGGGGGGCAGTTTTGGTGGAAGAAGCTCGGGCAGTCCCTATGGTGGTGGTTATGGATCTGGTGGTGGAAGTGGTGGGTATGGTAGCAGAAGGTTCTAAAAAAAATTCAGAAGAAAAGGGCTACAGTTCTTAGCAGGAGAGAGAGCGAGGAGTTGTCAGGAAAGCTGCAGGTTACTTTGAGACAGTTGTTCCAACTGCATTAGAGGAACTGTAAAAATCTGCCACAGAAGAAACGATGATCCATAGTCAGAAAAGTTACTGCAGCTTAAACAGGAAACTCTTCTTGTTCAGGACTGTCATGGCCACAGTTTGCAAAAAGTGCAGCTACTGTTTAATGCAGTGTAGTGTCAGTTACATGTACATTCCTGAGGTCTTTCATCTGTTGTAGCTTTGTCTTTGTCTTTTTCTTTTCATTACATCAGCTATATTGCCCTGTAAATTGTGGTGGTGGTACCAGGAATAAAAAATTAAGGAATTTTTAAAAACAAAACAAAATCCAGTCCTATTGCTTGGGCTCTACCCTCATAGCTTGAGTAAGGGTGTAGATTGAAAAGGGAAGGCACGTGTGTGTCTGTGTGTGTGTGTACCTTTTTTTTTTTAACTCCCGTAGCTTTTTTTTTGTAAACTTAATTTTTTTAAGGTTTTATTTATTTATCTGAGAGAGAGGGAGAGAGCACAAGCAGGGGGAGGGGCAAAGGGAGAGAGAGAGAAGTAGACTCCCTGTTGAGCAGGGAGCCCGACTCCAGGCTTGATCCCAGGACTCTGGGATCATGACCTGAGCCGGAGGCAGACGCTTAACTGACTGAGCCACCGAGGCACCCCAACTCTCCTAGCTTTAAACATTTGGTGCTAGCCAGGATTGAGAACCAAAGGATACAAGTTAAATAATTTTCATATTGTTGTTGCTAAATTTTACAGATATTTTCACTGTAATTTGTTACATAACTTTTACCTGTATACTATTTCTTAATTATCTGTGCTAGTGAATTTTTCTTAAGTAAGTTGTCATTTTCATAATGTGGTTTGTTTTTAACATCTTACAATAGTGTGTTTTTGTACCACTTCAATAAAATAGAAAATTGGTATTCATATGATAGTCTGTATTGATCCTTCTTCAGTACTTTTATTACTTTTATTTACAGATCACTGAGCAACCTGGATGCCGCTTGCCTATAATAGAAGCAGAAAGCATCAAAACCTTTCAATATAGCGTGCAGGTGGAGAAACCTTTTACAGAAGGGAATCTTTCTGGTTTTATAAATTATCAGATGATGGATACTCATTCTGTTCAGCTTGAATTTTCTGTAAACTTATCACTATTAGATTTCATTAGGTAAATATTTTCTGGAAAGTTAATTCAAGTTATTCATTCATTCAGCAAATATTTATTAGGCCTTTTCTCTGGACAGAAACACTGTGTTAGGTGCTGGGGAGTATCCAGATTCAAAACTAGATACAGTCGCTACCTTTAGAGAATGTTCAGTCTAGGTAAGAGACATTGAACAATCACATGAATTTATGTATAATTTTGAATTGTGCTGTGAAGAGAAAGTAAATGGTACAAAGAGCAATTACAATATGGGACCTGATTTAGGTTGGGGTTGATTAGTAATCTTGGAAAACCTCTGAGAGAAAGTAATATTAAAGTGTAATGTTTAAGCTGAAATAACTTCAGAGATTCTGCCTGGCTTTTTTTAAAAAAGCTTTTAAAGTTTCTCTCATTTATATTTCATTTATTTGATTAATTATTTCATAAAATCTGTTTATTAAGTTTAGAGATCTGTAAGAAAATTACTCAAGGTTATTAAACTTTTATTAGAGTTACAGTCAGTATTTAGCTTTATACTAGACACTATGCAGTGTTACCAGAATAATTGAAGACAATGTCTTCACTCTTCTCTCATTTAGTTTTTTGGATATATTGTACTGTATTAAAACATTTTTTAAAATGAAGGCTGCCTGAACCAAGAATGCAGAATGCCAGTGAATATCTATAAAATTTTTTTAACCATCACACATTCATTTGCGTTACACTGCTGTAATTTTTGCCTACTCTTTAAAATCTTTTAGTAAGAACATGTCTCTCACTCTGTCAAAGAATATATTTCTGCCTGTGGTGCTGTTATAAGATAGAATCCAGCCTTCTAAAAACTTAGACTGTAAAGGTATATCCCATGGTGAGCATTAGTGACCTGAAGAAGCGCAATATATGCAATAAACAGTTCTTCTGTGTGTATTAATAAAACCCTATGTATCTTTAAAAAATATTTTTCCCAATTATAAAATAAGTGCATAATTATTATAAAAATTCAAATGCTATAGAAAATATAAGTAAAATATAAAAGTTCCTTATAATTCTATCCCCAGAGACCCAGTGTTCACTACCTGATTCATGAACCATTTTCAAAAATACATTTGTTAAAGTCCTTTCCTTGGTCTCATTTACATAAGGTGCTAGATCTTTGTATTCATACTTTTATACATGATGTTGATAGTGTCGTCTTATCCCCAAATCCAAAGTATACATGAAAGAAAGTTTTATATATGAATGATTCATGAAATTACTTGGTAAAATTTTACTGAAATGACTAATACTCAGACAAAGAGAGAACTGAGTGATTTATTGAAAAGACATTACACTTTAATAACATCTTTTTTCAAAAGTATTTTCATCAGTTTTGAGGATGATGGTAAGCGTTCTAATCATAGTTAATTTAAAAACATGAATTTTGCGGGACCCAGATATACAATGATTATGTTCTATTTCCATGAGTCATTTGAAATGTATTTGTTTGTTTAGAATTAATTTCATTCTTTTGGACATAAATCTAATTTTAAAAATTATTTTCAGACCATTAAAAATCTCAACTGAAAACTTTGGCAAACTCTGGTTGTCCTTCGCAAATGATGTGAAGCAAAATATAAAAGTGTCAGAATCTCAAGCTGCTCTGCCTTCTGCCCTAAAGACCCTGCAACAGAAACTAAGACTTCATGTTGTCGAAATTATAGGTTTGTAGACTTACAAAAAGGCAATCTTGTGTTTATAGGGGCTTGCTTACAGAACACAAATCAACTTTCATGAATATCGGATTTCTTAGAGCTGTATTTCCTGTTATGAGTACCTTTCAAATGAGTGTGTTGTTCAGACATTATTAAATAATTTTTTTGTATGGTAAAATATACATAACAGAAGTTTCCATTTTAACCAATTTTAAGTGTACAGTTCATTGACCTTAAGGACATCCTTAATTGTACAGCCACTGCCGCCACCACTTAAAGAGCTTTTTTCTCCTCTTTAGCTAAAACTCTGTGCCCTTTAAACACTATCTCGTCATTCCCCTCCCTCTCTACCTCCTGGCGACCGCCATTGTTATTTCTGTCTCTATGAATTCAACCACTTTAGGTGTCTCATATAAGTGGACTCATGCAATATTTTTCCTTTTGTGACTGGCTTATTTCACTTAGCCTAATGTTTTCAAGGTTCATTCATGTAGCATGTGTCAAAATGTCTTTCCTTTTTAAGCCTGAATTTCACTATTCATTGTATGAATGTACCACATTTTGTTTATCCATTCATCTGTTGATGGACACTTGGGTTGCTTCCCCCTTTTATCTATTAGGAATGATGCCGCTGTGAGTGTGAGTGTACAGATAATCTGTGTTGAAGTCCCTGCTTTCAGTTCTTTTGGTTATATAATTCTGTATTTAATTTTTGAAGAAACTGCCATATAATTTTCCACAGCATCTGTACCATTTACATTCCCACTGGCAGTGCACAGAGGTTCCAGTTTCTCTACATCCTCACCAACTGTTGTTATACATACACGTGAGTGTGTGTGTGTGTGTGTGTGTGTATGAGATACATGTATATCTTATATATATGACTAGGAATTCATTGTGGATTTAACTTGCATTTCCTTACTGATCAGTGATGTTGAATATCTTTTCACGGGCGTGTTGGCCATTTGTATATTTTCTTTGGAGAAATGTCTATTTAAGTCCTTTTGTCTTAAAGAATTTTTAATTTTTGCTTTGTTGTAGGCAATGAAGGGCTTTTGGCCTGTCAGCTACTGCCATCCATCCCCTGCTTGCTGCATTTTCGAGTTCATGGTGATGTATTAGCCCTGTGGTTCAGATCCTCCTGCTCTACTCTTCCTGACTGTTTACTGTATCAGTGTCAAAAGGTGATGGAGGGATCCTAGCAGAAGCTCTTATATTTTACTCCATCAGAATAAATGGTTTACATAGATAAACTTATTTACCAAAGTAAAAACTCTTGGTACTTCTAATGAAAATGGGGATTATTATAAGCTGTGGTTCGATGTGTTTTCTTTATGAATCCTGATCAAGAAAGATCCCCAAGGAACTGTATCCTTAACCTTTTACTCAGGATTGTACAGTACATTTGGGTCCCAAAAAAAGTGACCTAAACTAATGTTATAAACTGCTAATGATTTATATGTCACTTAGTGTAGAGGGACTGAAAATATTTATTTTGTTATAAATAATTTTGTAGCAGATTTACTCTAGTGCTAGCTGATTTGTAGTAAAGCCAAGTCTCAGTTCTCTGCATTAATGGAGGGGAGACAGACATGGCATTGGTAATCCCAGACCTAATTCATATTTGGCTTTGGAATGCAATGTGAGCTTTTTGATAGGCAAGTCATTACTTTCAATTATGTTTTGCTTAGATCAGTATTGAACTAAGTTGGCACAGCACACACTAACAGTTCAGGAGATCCATGAGCATGCTGGATATTGGGGGGATTCAGTCTGTGATAAAGTTTTTATTGTAGATAACTGGTTACACATGCTTGTAGATAATTTGGCTACAAATTTGTTTTCCCACTTGCATTTATTTTCAAAATTCAAAGTGAATCACTATTCTTATTTTAAAAACCCAGAGCCATTTTATAAAATATTGTCATGTGGAAACACAACCTATAAGAGCACACAGATATAAAAGGACTTTTTAGTTATGGTGAATATCTTAGTTACCATTTAGGTCCATTTAGGTCCTTTTGACAAACTAAATTTTGTGAGTATAAATGGCAAAGCCATCTTATCTTTCCTGGCTTTTGAATCCACTAGGACTCAGTGGATACAACCAAAGCAGTGACTGCTTAAGTATACCATAGAGGTTCTTCAGCAAAATATCTCATTTTTATGTTGCAGTTTTGCTTTTATGGCCTCTGTCAGAACTCTTGTCAGTAGAAGAGGTTAAGCCTAATATGAATGATGGGCCACAATCTTGAGATTGTACATTAAAGTTAAAAACTGAAATAGTAAGTATTTTATAAAATCTTATGGTGCTGTGGAAAATATTCATTATTTCACTTTTTCTGACACTTCACCATGGAGACTGTTCTGGTAATATAGTTTTAAGTCATTGCAGTTAATTCTCTGGTTAATTGGTACTGTTTGTCACCCAGGTGTTGAATTCCGGTGTAAATTATCTCACTGATCATAGCTGATGAAGATACTAAGGGGATTCCCCGGAGCTGAGATTTCATTAGTTTTTCATGTCTAGTATTTTCCTCCCTAAAAACTAAAGCACTATTTTTAAAAATTAATTTTAAAGTCGTTCATTTTTAAAAAGGTAACACCTTGTTAATTTTATGCTTTTAAAAACATGCAGTAAAACCTTGCTACAAGAGCAATGGTAAGTGACTGGAATTTCCTGCCTAGGTTTCTCCTTTTGAGTAGATCAGATTCATCTTCAGGTTCTCAGCAGTGTCATAGTGAAGGGAATGAGCTCTCTCTGGGGTGTAGCAGACACTGGTGGCTAGACTTATCAGCTTCTTTTTTATTTCTACCTCTGTCAACAAAACCCCCTGATTCTGCTCTTACTCTGACAAAGAAATAGGACGTACCCTCTCACTTTTAGGGGAATGCAGTATATGGCAAAGGAGGTGCTCTCATTTTTTTCTGTCCTCCTGTGTACTTACATGATCAGCAAGGCTGGGTTGAGTACGGAGCAGTGGGTGTAAGGTGCCCAGCAAGCAGACGGACAACCACCTGGGAGAGATTATAGTGAACTACGGTGCTGCTTGGCTGCAGGGCTGTTCATGAGTGGCAGCAGCAGTTGTCATGAAAGACGTGGCTTGGCCAACAGAGCTGTCTAAGGGTGGGACACGTGTAATGGTAGGTCAGGGCGGGGGGCATCATTTTGGTCTGCCAAAGGGAACTTAGTGCCACTTTTGTTCTTTCTGAACTCACTAAATGGAAAGTAGGGTGACAGAGGTTCCACTGAAATGATTAGTAGAATGTTTACAATGTTTATATTTTTGTGGTTTTAAAAACAGTAGGAAAGAGTAAATAGTAAAGAACTTCAGAGCAGTATATATTCTGCCTAAATTAATTCAATGTTTTAAATTCTAAATCAGGCATCACCAACCTTTTTCGCATTGCCGGAGCTATGACTATAAAGTAGGGAGAATGATTTTTGTGGGCAGATGATCACGTGAAGGGGCAGCATCTGGAGTAAGTGCTATGGTGGGGATGCTCAGCCGTGTAAGAATGCGACAAGGGTGAGTCGGGGCGGGGGCGGCGTGTACAGAGCAGACAGCAGAGCCTTAGGGGCAGGGGAATGAAGAAGGATCAGGCTCCCACCAGAGTAGTCCCTGTGGAGGCGGGCAGATCAGGCTCAGGGGAAAGTGGGCCCCAAGTAAGCGTCCTGAAAACGCTGCAGATGGAAGCTGAGCAGTTAACCAAGTGCCAGTGTGCCAAGCATGCCAAGCACAGCATGTTCTCTGCAGAGGGGCATTATTTTAAACAGTAACCTACTAGCCTCTACCAAAACAGTTGTGCTGAAAATGCAGTGTTGCATTTTTTCCTTTTATTTCATGTCAGTAATATTATAAAATATTGAGCTCTTTGTCTTCTTTTTTATGGATAAATGTGGTCTTTGTCTCATGGTTGTGAGCCACTGAAAGTGCACTGAACCTATTCACATGTCTTTAAGGTGTTTTGCTCTGTTAAAATTTTAGGAGGGAAAAATGCAAGTGAGAATGACAGCCTAATAGGCATTAATTACCTTATTTTGGAGTTGAATTCTGTAATTGGAAAAAATTCAGTTAAAGATGTAATAAATACAAAATGATCTATACTCTTCTTTGGTCTGTGTATTTTTTATTATTCTAAATAGCTGAGTAATAAGTAAATCCTATTCAGTAATTTGATAGGGTTAGTGAAAAAGAACAGAAGCAACTGGAATGGGATGAAAAGAGTAATTTACTCATTATAGTCCCAAAGAATGTGATCTAATTGGTTAAAAGTAAAGATATTGCTGTGTCTGTGTGATGTTCAAAGAGAATTTTGTGGGCTTCAGACAGGTTAGAATGTGGATTGATCCTCAGGTGCATGTCCATGTCGCCTGCATTTATTCTAGCCTGACCAGAGCTTTCAAAGCAGTGTTGTGTTTCTATGATGCCCTCTCCTTACAGCCACCAGAAGATGCAAGAAACACAGTAAGTCAGATGGTGACTTAGTGATCAAAGACTCTGAGTCTTCTGGCCATCTCTGCATGTAAAGTTCCTAAACACAGATCAAATGTGGCATTAAATCTCACCTATTTATGCCTACTATTGGCTATAATGTATAGCAGACAAATTCTGAGACTTGCAGCCCCATCTTTGGGGCACTGAAGGTAAAGGAGATTTAAATGCACCACACCTACTGCAGTAATTGAAAAGAAGGGGCTCTTGAAGGGAGGGGGTGGGTGTGCTGCTGCCAAATGGGCCAGGATTAATGATTGTATGAAAGTTGCTTGTTTATGTGTGTGCATAATGAGACTATGAACTTTATATGGTTAAGGACCATGTGTATAGTTTATGTTCCCTTTGTCTAATACATAATAGGCACTCAGTAATAGGGGCTCAGCTTACTGAATGAATGACTAAAAATACCTGTCCCCTCAAAGTAAGTAGTCTGAGACCATGTAATATCCAGGGATTGATTTTAGCAATACCATGGCTCTCCGAGAAGTAAAGAAAAGTGATGTGATGTACTTTATAGATAGAAGTCAGCAGAAAGGGGTTCTGGAGAAACCAGCTTGTGCCAATTTCTGCCTTGTGGGAGAGAGGAAGCATGAGTGCTTGATGGGACCTTTACCGGCCTGAAAGCTAAGTCCTATGAGAAGGCGCCATGCCATTTAAGAAATCTCTCTGCAAAAACAGTGTGATTACAGATACTATGACTTGGAGGAGGACTTTTCTGCATTATGGCAGATGTCCATGAAGTTGTATTGTTATAAAAGAACTTGTTCTAGGACAGAAAGCAGTGGACATTTGATCAGTGAAGCTAAAGATAGGTAGCCAATGAATATGATAAGGCAGATTTACCAGCTAAGTTAGCATTGCCTGTTTCTTTAGAAGGGTGAGCACTGTGATAATGGGAGGGACAACTGTACATTAACAAGGCCGACAGCATCAGGAAAGTTGGGGAAGAACAGGTCTTCTGAATAAGCAGCCGGAAACAGAATTACTTAAAAGGAAATGTGTTTTCATATGCATCACCTGGGAAACTTCATGGTAGGTGCCTGGATCCAAGATAGGAAGGTACCCAAAAGATGGGTCCAGAGAACCCTGAGAACTTAAAGACTGTGGCCTGGATACAGGGAAGACGGACCTGGTCAGGGAGAAAAGATGGATGATGTCAAACAGCATGAGTTTCCTGGAGCATCTGTAATGCTGAAAATATAGTGAGTTCTTTTAAGTGGTTGCAGTTAGATTGTGGGCTTCTTTCCAAGAAAGGAATCAATTTCCTTTAGTTATTTTAAACTATTTTCCTAAGTGGATGAGTACTTTTCATTCCCCAGAACATATTGTCAATGCCACTAAACAGCTGACCTTAGGAAGTTCTTCCCTGATGCGGTCTGGCAGGACATGTGCCAAGTGGGCAGAGACTAGACCCCAGAGATTTTTTGTATTTCAGTGAGGGAAAAGTACTTGGAAATCTGTTTGCACATCTTCATCCCTTATATTGTGTGACAAGTAGAAAGTAACAGAGGCGAGATGTGATATATTCTGAGGGGAAGGGTTTGGTCTGAATTGCCACTATATAATTTAATGAAGTTAAGGGCAAAACCAGTGAGTGGAACAAGCCGGTCCCCAATGATGATCAAGGTATAAGACTTGATAGATCAAGGTTAAGAATTTATTTTTTCATCTTAGTTGACTGATTAATAGTAGCTGGGGTTAAGTAGAAGAGTTATTGTGAACTATGGGAAAAATAAAATGATTTGGACCCAAATATTGGACCAGTCTTCATCTTCAGAAGTGATAAGGGTCTTTTCTTATTCATAAGGAACCGTTTTGAGCAGACCTGATTTTATGCTAATGAAGTGACTTAGAGTGGTGTCTAAGACCCTCAGGATGGGGTTGGTCACCAGAAAGACTGAATAGAGGGATGGAACTTTCAGCCCTGCTCACCTACCTCTGGGAAGGGAAAAGGGAGGGGCAGGGTGGTTGGAGATTAAGCTCTCTATATAAAAACTCTGGAATAGGATTGATGAACTTCCCATGTTGGTGATGCACCCCAGTTCCATGGGGACAGAAGTTCCCATGGTCAGGACCCTTTCAGACCTTGCCCTGTATACCTCTTCATTTGGCAGTTTTTGAAAGGTGGCCAGTCAGAATGGAGATGTGTTTGAAGTATAAAGTGGAGATGTGTTTGAACTATAAACATTGGATTTCAAAGACATAGTGCAAAGGTAAAATAATTTTTATATTAAGGATATTGAAATAGTATTTTAGGTATATTAGACTAAAAGTATATTACAGCCCTATGAAGATCAAATCTAGAAAAAACAATCAGTGGTTATTCTATCCCTTCCTTGCTCTAATCCTGATATTAAACCCATTATTCTTAAACTTTAATGGCAATTCAGAGAGAATTGGAGTTTG